TTTATTTAATGGTGTTACTTTATACATCATTTGTGAGTAATTAGTTTCTTTGAAAAAGAAAAAGAAGGAGCCCTGATGGTGCAGCAGTGAAGCGCTTGCCTGCTAATTGAGAAGTTGGCCCACCAGCAGCTTCACGGCAGGAAGCCCTGGTAATCTGCTCCCATAAAGATTACAGCCTCAGAAACCCTAGGGGGCAGTTCTACTCTGCCTCATGGGGTTGCTATGAGTTGAAATCAACTCAACAGCAAACCACAAGCTTAAAAAAGAGCAAAGTTGATGAAAATTCTGTTGAACATGATTTCATCTTTCTCAGTTGACTCAGAGAAACTGCAAGATCCCACACTGCCCTGAGTCATCTGGGAAAATCAGATGTCTTTGTACCCTCAAAATATGGATGGGCTGGTTAATAGTGGTGCTAAGGATTGAATTATGCCTCCCAAAATAGGTGTGTTGTAAATCCTAGCCTCAGCTGTGTTTATAATCCCATTTGAAAATGGGTGGTCTCTGTTACGCTAATTACAGGATTAGTGTAGGGTGTATCATAAATCAATCTCTTTTGAGAGATAAAAGATAAAACAAGCAATCAAAAGAAGCAGAGATGGGGAAGGAGAGATGCTAAACTCCATGAAGATTACCCAGGAGCAGAAACTAAGAGACAGGACCTTCCTGCAGAGCCAGCAGAGAGAGAGAGCCTCACCTAGAGCTGCCACCCTGAACTAGCACCGTCAGCTGTGAGCAAATTAATCTCTGTTTGCAAAAGCTACCCATTCGTGGTATGTCTGTAATAGCAGTAGTGGCTAACTAAGACAAGGGAATTAAGGGGTGTTTATCTATTTTGAAAAAATAGTAACGGTAGACTTGTGGTAGTCTGAAGGGTAGGCTGCTGTGAGAGAGAAACCTAAGATCAGAGAAACTTGTGTTTGCTTTGCACAGTGAGGCTAGAGGAGAGGCTCACAGTTGAATTTCCACACATATCAAGTCATTTGCCATGGTCACAATTTCACTTATAAAGTAGAAAGGCAACCGGTATGGGACTGAGCCAGCAACTCAGCATGTTATGATTCAAAATACCATGAAATCATTTTGGCATTTTTTTGTTCTTCACTTCGAAAGCAATTTTAATGTATCCTTATTACGGTAATAAAAAGTCTTTTGAACATTCAGTGCTGGTAACTGCGTATCCTGCACTCCCTCGGTGGTGCAAACCATTAATGCCCCGGGAGACTTACTGAAAGTTGGAGGTTCTAGTCCGCCCAGCGGCTCCTTGGAAGAAAGGCCTGGGGGTCTGCCCTCCAAAGAGTCAGCCATTGGGATTACAAAGCCCGGTTCTGTTCTGACACACAGGGAATAGACGGGAGTCAGAGTTGACTCCACAGCAACTAGTGACTAAGCAGCCAGGCCAGGCTGCCTGTGGAGAGTGGATGTATACACATACCAAGCCAGAAGGGCTACGGGAGGCTGTGGGGACACTCCTCAGATGAGAATCCAAGGTGAAGAAACGTCAAGGGAGACTGTCCTAGATGGCAAAACCAGGTCGTGTCAGAGCTAAAAGCCAGCCACAAACAGCCAGGAAGCACAACTGGTCGCTGGGACAAGAAGGCAGTCACCTCTCAAACCTTTCCATGATAGTGGGGAATTAATGGCATCAAGTTAGATTCCATTTAGAGGTAAGGTTTGCTCTTATCATAGGGGCGTCCCACATGGAGCTTAGAGGTCTTGTGCTTGTGTTAGAAGAGGAAGGCCCCAAGAGATAGCCAAGATCTCATGGCTGGTCCAAAGAGTTAGAAAAGCGAATTAAGGCTTTGTGTTTGATTAGCTCGGGAAGCAGTCCTTAGGGCTCATTTTCCCTGCTGTGGTTAAAACTGTCTGCTGAGAAATAAGTGAAGGAATAGCAGACCAAGAATCTGAACCCAACCCACTGGGAAGGGCCTTTGACAAAGAAGTAGAATGAGACTGGGTTAGAGTGGGGTGTTGGAATCAGGCCACACTGTCCCCTGGCATCCAGCAAGTCTGAAATGGAACTCATCCTGCCTCACCTCCTCAGCAGACCCCTCCCAGCAATAACCACAGAACGTGACGCTGCGGGTGCTGTACGCGACATGGCCAGGATCCAGTCAGTCTCACACATCGCAGAGAGGGAATGGGCTGCAGGACCCTGAGTCACCTGTCCAGACACCAGGGTTTCTGAGTCCTAATCCAGTTAAGAAGGAGCCTTTGTGGTGCAGTGGTTAAGTGCTCGGCTGCTAACCAAAAAGTTGATGGTTTGAACCTACCAGCCTTCCGCTGATGACAAATTCCATAAAGTTGGCAGCTTTGGGAATCCATGGGGATAGTTTTACTCTGTCCTACAGGGTCCTCTGTTGTTATTGTTACGTGCTGTCGAGTCGCACCCGACTCATAGTGACCCCTCCTTGGGTTTCCGAGGAAGTATCACTACGGAAGTAGATTGCCCAACTTTCCTTCTGAGGAGTGGCTGGTAGGTTTGAACCTCCAGCCTTCTGGTTAGCAGTCAAGTGTCTTAGGCACGATGCCACCAGAGCTCCCACACGGTTCCTAAGAGTCAGAATCAACTCAACAAAAGTGGGTCTGGTTTGGGGTGTTTTGGTTATCTAGTCATGGAGTCCTGGGTGGTGCTAATGACTAACGTTCTTGGCTGCTAACTTAAAAGCTAGTGCCTAAGGCATTTGACTGCTAACCAGAAGGCTGGCAGTTCAAATCCACCAGCCACTCCTCAGAAGGAAGATTGGGTAATCTACTTTCATAATGATACCACCTCGGAAACCCAAGGAGGGGTCACTATGAGTCGGATCCAACTCGACAGCGGTGAAGATCAAGTCTACCCACCACCTCCAAAGAAAGGCCTGGTGGTCTACTTCTGGAACCAGCCATTGACAGCCACAGGGAACACAGTTCTACCCTGACACATTTGGGGTCACCTGGGTCAATTCAGCAGCAACTGGGTTTTAAGCTAGCCTTCCTTTCTCTACATCACTCTGCCCTCCTCCCCATACTTGTGCAAATAAGCCCAGCAGGTTACAGCATTATTAAGGTACACTTTACCTATATTGGCATTTGACTGCAGTATGCTAGCAGATGCCAGTAAGTGTGAAGTCAAATTTTTTGAAATAGCAAAGAACCAACCAGCTTTTGGCATCATTAATGTGGTTTTTAGATGATACCTAGGTGAAAGGCCTTTGTAGCATTCAAATCAAAATATGGAAAGACATAAAGTACTGGATCTAAGCTTCAAAATGCCTAGCTTATGAATCGAACATGAGTGATTAAGACTGAGCAAACCATCATCAGCCCAATTAGCTTCATACTGTTGGCGTGAACTTTGATGTTGTATGACCCTGGTGCTCTGTTTTCTTTAATGTGTGAATGATTTTAGCTTTGGAGTTACAGGAGAATGATAAGCATGAAGCATTTACATATCTGGGTTTATATTTATAGCTACTTGAGTAACATTATAATGAAGACACTGACTCTCTGGTATAAAATGCAGCCCTCTGCACAATATAGCACCCTCCCTGGATGGAGACCCAGCTGGCCACTCACCCCAGGGCCAGCTAGCACCACCTACCCCTTGTTGTCAGTCTGTCTCAGTGCACATCCCTCCTTCACAAGAAGACAAGTGAACCACGTGGGCCATTCCCTCTTGAGTCTGTGTAGCTACGCAGTCTCCAATTCTTTTTTGGGAGGAAGTGTTAGGGAAAGCCTATCTAAAAGTTGGCATTGAGTCGATTTCGACTCCCGGTGACCCCATGTGTGTCAGGGTAGACTCATACCCCATACGGTTTTCAGAAGCTGGTTTTGCAGAAGTAGACTGCCGGGACATTCTTCCAAGATGCCTATCGGTAGACTTGAACCTGCAACCTTTTGGTTAGCAGCTGAGTACCTTAACCGTTTGCACCACCCAGGGACTCCATGTACACACTCATGTTTGTCAATCCTCGTGTGAGGGTTGGTACTACCAGCAGACGTGACATGGAGCATAGACTCCAGTGGCCAGAGAAAGACCAGTGTCAAAGACTTCCAGATGCTAGCGACTGGGAGCCAGGCAGCATGTACTGAAATGGCCCGAGAGGATAAGAGTGGGTTCAATGTGCATCTGCCCTCGCCCCAGTCCTGGCGTGGCCCAGCTTATCTGATCTTGCTGACTGAGTCATCAGCAAGTTGTCTGAACGTGATGAGGACTGTATAATTAAGGATTGTATCATTTCCTTAAGCAGGCATTTGCTTCAAATGAAGCAATGAAGGGTAACTAACAAAGATGCATATGCAGTCTCAGTAGCTCTTCTGCCTGCCTCAGCCCTTAAGAACCTACAGGTACACCAGTGGGCTTCCGTGATGTGCCCAGCACATGGGTGGTGAGCAGACCAAAGTATGTTGAAGGGAACTTACAGAGAACCACCTCCTCTTCAAAGTGAACTGCCTTTGACACTTCCCATCAACTGTCTGTCAATAACATCTTCCATCTCCAGCGCAAAACCACCAAGAGGGAAACAAAACCCCAGCAAAGAGATGTCCTACTCTCAACTGCAGTGAACCGCTTTGGTTTAATAACCTGTATGTCCTAGTTTCATAACATAACTTGCTTCTTTCCTGATCTCTGTGACAATGTCTATATAAGAAATGCACACAACATGCCAAATCCTTTCTAGTAAGTGTTTTTGATTATTTTTAGTTCGATCCTTGGGATTTCTGCTCCTAAATCTGACATGCTGCTATTCAGTCACTCAGCTGAGTAAGAGAATCTAAGCACACCACCCGCCAGTCACCAAAGGCAGCCTGCCTCTGTTTGGACTTTTTGTCTAAGCTATTATTTCATTATTGTCCATTATTCTTTATAGCCATTGGATTAATGGTTTCTAAATACCTAAGTCTGCAAGCGAGTTGGACTGGGTCTCTAAACTTGCGGGCCAGGAGCATCAGTTTAGAACTCTGGGGCTGGTTGGGCCTCAGGTGCAGGAAAGGACAGAGGTGCCCCGTGCTGTGACATGGATGGAGCCCCTTGGCAGTGGGGTTTGCTCAGCGGATTGTCTCTGTCCCCTTGCAGGATCGCCTACCAGAGGAACGATGACGATGAGGAAGAGGCTGCCCGAGAAAGGCGCCGCCGAGCCCGGCAGGAAAGGCTGCGGCAGAAGCAGGAGGAAGAAGCCCTGGGACAGGTGACTGACCAGGTGGAGGTGAATGCCCAGAACAGGTACTGGCTTCTGCGGAATGGAGAGTTTTTAAGTTGCTGTCTGTTGAATTTGTTGGACAGAGCATTCCCTTTTAAGCCCAACTCAAGTGTTTTTCACTCAATCTGATTTGTTTCATTATTTGTTGGTCGTTTTAAGCCACTCATCAGACTGGAAGGAGCACCCGGATAGTGCAGACAGCTAAGCAGGCAGCTACTAGCTGGAAGGTTGATGGTTCAAACCCACTCAGAAGTGCCTCAGAAGAAAGGCCTGGTGATTTGTTTCTAAAAGATCGTCTATGGAAGGAAAACCCTACGAAGCTCAGTCCTGTGCAATGCGTGGGGTTGCCATGAGTCAGAATCCGCTCCACGGCTACTAGTTTGTTTTTTCGATCAAACAGGAGATTCAATCTGATTTAGACATCAGGACAGCACCGTGCCCTTCTCAACCCACCCAAATCCAAACACACCCCACATGGAGGGCTTTTTAATAATTTTATTATTCAGTGTTTTTTTTTTTTTTTTTTCTGTACTAAGTATGGTGAGTTCTATCATTAAATAAGGAAAACTATTCACATGCTTTCTTTAGGGTATTACTATCTGTTTTGATCTGAAGAGTTATCCGTTTAATAGAGTCCACTAGGCTTCCCAGAAAGGGAGAACACATGACTGTTCTAAGTAGGTACAGATTGCAAATATCTTACTTTTTCTTGTACAGCCTCAATCAATAGTCAGCACAGGACTTCTGGTGGCATGGTGGTTAAGACGTTCAGCTGCTAACCAAAAGGTCAATGGTTTGAACCCATCAGCCACTCTGAGGGAGAAAGATGAGGCAGCCTGTGTCTGTAAAGATGGCAGCCTTGGAAACAATATGGAGCAGTACTGCTCTGCCCTATAGGGTCACTGTGCATTGGAATTGCCTCAGTGGTGGTGGGTTTTTATGATATTCAGCAAGGTGCAGAGTCTTGTATAATTTATTGTGATCATTCATCACAAAAGTACTACCAAGCTTCTGAGCTTACGACCACATTTCTTCCCTGGTAGAAACTGGAGAGGGCAAGAGTATTAATAGGTTCAGCTTCTTCAAAGAGGCCTTGTGCAGCAGAAGCAGGGTCACCCTGTACCCTGTGCTCACAGTTAGTGTAAACCAGGTTTATATGCTCCAAAGCTTAGGAAAGAGAAGGATATTTAGGGGGGCGGGGAACAGTGAACAAAATTAATTTTAATTTTCAACTATGGGTTGCTTAACTATAATGATGCGATCCCGTGTGTGGCTTTGGGTTTAGTTTGTTTGTGTGTGTTGGGAGGGGCTGTTGATGGTTCTAGTAATCCAGTCTATTCAGAGACTTCTGAAGGGAAGGGGCTCTGGGCGGATTAACCCAAATTTGAGGGAGCACCTCAGAAGGTTTCTGAGAAGGGTCTTGAAAATGCTGGCAGGCAAGATGAAACCAAGGAGGAAACCTAATGGTCACATGGAGGAATGAGGAAAGACCTTGTCCCTTGGCAAAAACCAGTTGCTCTCAAGCTGATTCCACTCAAGGCGGCCCCGTGTGTATCAGAGTATCCTGCGCTGCATAGCGTTCTCCGTAGAGAGCTTCCAGAAATAGACCATCAGGCCCTCCTTCCCAGGTGCCTCTAGGTGGACTCCAGCCACCAACCTTTCAGTTCCCAAGCACGTTGATGGCTTGCCCCACCCAGGGACTCCTGCTCCATGGTCAGTGGCCCCTAAATAGGGAGGACATGTGGCAGAGGGGTTGGAGTGTGGTCCACCTGGCATTGAATCCCAGCTCTAAAATCACAGGTAAGTCTCTAAGCCTATTTCATCTTCATTTAAATGGAAGTGCAAATTATATTCATTTCCTACAAATGTGGTTAAGCTGAACTAACAATGTGTATGAAATGCCTAGGGCCTTGCACATAGTGCGTGTTCAGTAGAGTCTTACAGAAGAAGGACAACACTATTATTTACTCATTTTCCATTTTTAAACCAAGAGAGAAGGGAAAAAAGAGTTTGCAAATGGCATTTTGAGGCCTTTCCTGAATCTAGTTATTAGTGAAGGATGAAGAAGGGCGTTAGAAAGTTACTGGTGGTCTATAGTTTTCCTTATTTTTAAAATCTCCCTCATAATTGTATTTCTCTAATTTTTAAAATATTTTTATTACTAGTTATTTCATGCTATTGATCTAATTTTTTTCTTTTTTCGAAAAGTATGTGAGAATATGTGATTTATCTCCAACATACTATTATCCACACAAAGAATAAATAAGGCTGAACAGTTAAGACTGTATGACTTGAACTGGCATGGCACTTACACTGTCGAGTTATGTACAGGAAGATCTGTATACATATTATGTTTACATAGAGGGAGACCACATCAGATACAGTAGAGTCTGTTGGTGTCTTGACTCAGCTACTTTAATCTCACTTGCACTTTGGAATCTGGGACACTTTTTTCAGTTGACCAAATGCCTTACAGATAGCCCTTTCTCCTTAAATTCTAAGCTTTGTGTAGCCTCAGGGAAATGTAATCTTGATCTGGTGGTGTACTCGTTGAGGCCTTTATTTGACTGCTAACCAGAAGGTCGGTGGTTCAAACCCACCAGCTGCTCCATGGAAAAGCCATGAGGTAGTCTGCTTCTGTAAAGATTTACAGCTTTGGAAATCCAATGTAAGGGTTGCTATGAGTCGGAATCAACTCAATGGCTATGAGTTCAGTTTGGTTTGTGGTATGTCTCATGGAGACAGTGTCCTGCAGCAACAGCTAAGGCCAAAGACATTTAAAATCTGGCCTTGACTCTGCCATTTCTTGTTGTTAAATATGAAATGTGTTTTTCCAAAGTTAAGTGAACTTGAACTTCAAAAGGGCCAAGTTTGGTCTGAACCATGAAATTTGATGTAGTTTCTAAACATTGCAGGAAATAGTCTTCCAACTCTGGTCACAGTTCCTGGTATCACATGACTGGTTGTTTCCTGCCAGTAGAGACCAACACCCCTGGCTTGGGCAGTGTCCAATATCCTGCAATAGTGTGTGGTAATGGACATGGTACAGTTTGGTTTTTTAGAGATTGTCTTTTCTTTTTTTATAAACTTCAAACTTAACTGTCCTTTGTCTACTGTAGAAAAAAATTACAAGAAGCTCTTTATTCATGGAAATCTTGGAAATGAGCATAGTATATGTATTAGTGGGGTAATGCTGGATGCTATAATGATGAGCCCCTATATTTTATAGGTTGATGCAGTAACACTCACATCACAGTTGAGTGTGGGTATTTCTGGCCAGTAGGTAGAATCAGTGACCTGCCCTCCTTCCTCCTATGGCTCTGTCAGCTCCTAAGGCAATGGAGTCCTGTGGTGTTACCAGAAGATGGAGAAAGAAGGGGTAGAGAATCCACCTCTGCTTCTTAATTGTCCTGGTATGGACACATCACTTCTGCTTATATTTCTTTGGTAATTAGTGGTCACATGGCCCTGCCTAGGGTCAAGGAGGAAGGGATGTTGTAGAAAATGTAATCTTTGGCTGGCACCCACATTCCCTCACGACAGTGGAGGAAGGAGCATGGATTGTGGTGAAAAGTCTCTACCATGGGAGTCACTGGCATGAGTCATTGGTCATTGGCAGTGCCACACTGTGACATATACTCCCCTCCAGCCAAAGTACCTTGAATCTCACCATTCCAGACCAGCAACTCCGGATGACCAGGTGACATGAGAAAATACCATACAGTATTAGAGGGATTCACTCATTGTTTCAATTTAGCCCTTGTCTTATTCTGAGTCCCCCAAGAAGCTAATCCTAAAACAAAGACTTGGGTTGTTGTTGTTGTTATGTGCCGTTGAGTTGGACCCAACTCATAGCGACTCCTCCTTGGGTTTCCAGGGCAGTATCACTATGGAAGTAGATTGCCCAACCTTCCTTCTGAGGAGTGGCTAGTGGATTTGAACTGCCAGCCTTCTGGTTAGCAGTCAAGTGCCTTAGGCACTACGCTACCAGAGCTCCTAAGACTGGGGTACAAGTAGTTAATCTGTGAAGTGATCCCAGAAAACACCGGTAGGGGTGTGAGGAAGTGAAGCAGGGTAGGGAAAACCAAAAAACCAAACTCACTTCCGCTGAGTAGAGTCTGACTCATAGCGACCCCTCCTTGGGTTTCCGAGGAGGTATCCCTATGGAAGTGGATTTCCCAGTCTTCCTTCCAAGGAGTGGAAGGCAACCAAATAAAGATTATGTTACCAAGTTAGCACTATGGGTATCTGAAGTTTGACCCATTGGGGAATTTTAAGATCCAGTGCGGAACATACACCTCCAAGTTATCCAACCCAACAGGTGAGGGAACCTAGATATTTATACACTTACCAGTCACCAGTAGCTGTTGAGCCAGTTCTGAGTCATGGCAACCCCACGTGTGTCAGAGTAGAACTGTGCTCTGTTGGGTTTTCAACGGCTGGTTATTTTGAAGTAGAGTGCTAAGCCTTTCTCCCAGGGCACGTCTGGATGAACTTGAACCTCCAGTCTTCAGCTAGCAGCTGAGAGCATTAACGGTTTGCACCATCCAGGGACTCCATGTGTAGACACCAATGGTCATCAATCTTTGTTTGAAGGTTGCTGCTTCCAGTATCCCTGCACTTCCATTGTAGGGTAGACTCCAGGAGCCAAAGAAAGACCAGGGCAAGACTTGCAGATGCTAGCAATTGGGAACCATGTGACATGTACTAGAGTGACCCAAGAGGGTAAAGGTGTGGTACCACAGGGATCTGCCCTGGTCCTGGTGTGGCACAGCTTAGACAAATCCAGCCGACTTATTAATCAGCAAGCTGTCTTTGGTGTTGTTTCTCTTGTACAGTGTGCCTGCTGAGGAGGCAAAGACAACCACCCCAAACACTCAGGGAGAAGGCGATGAAGAAGCTGCCCTCCTGGAGCGCCTGGCGCGGCGGGAGGAAAGACGCCAGAAGCGCCTCCAAGAAGCTCTGGAGCGGCAGAAGGAGTTTGACCCAACCGTAACAGAGGCAGGTTTGTCACTACCAAGCAGAAGAACAGAAAACAACACGGCGGAGAGTGAGAATGCGGAAAAAGAAGAGAAAAGTGAGAGTCGCCAAGAAAGATACGAGGTAGAGGAAACAGAGATCATCACAAAGTCCTACCAGAAGAACGAGTGGAGGGATGCCGAGGAGAAGAAGAGAGAAGAAAAGGAAAAGGAGGGAGAGGAAGACGAGAAGCCAAAGCAAGGAAGCATTGAAGAAAACCAGGTAGAGGTTACGGTAGAGGAGACACCAGCAGAAACCCACGAGGAAATGGCAGGAATGCCAGTAAGAAATGGGCAACTCAGTGCAGAAGAGCATAAAGTAGAGGATGGGAGGGGACAGGATTCAGAGGAGGCAGCCCATCAGGAAAAGCTGGAAGAGGAGGAAAGGGAGAGGGCTGAGGCCGAGAGGAAAAAGGCTGAGGCGGAGAGGGAGAGGGCTGAGGCTGAGAGGAAGAGGTTGGAGGCCGAGAGGGAGAGGGCTGAGGCCGAGAAGGAGAGGGCTGAGGCTGAGAGGAAGAGGGCTGAGGCAGAGAGGGAGAGGCTGGAGGCAGAAGAAAGAGAAAGACTTCAAGCTGAGCAAGACAGAAAGATAGCAGAGGAAAAAGCCAGGATAGAGGCAGAAGAAAAAGCTGCTCGAGAACACAGGGAGGAGGAGGAGAGGCAAAGAGTGAAGGAGGAAGAGCAAAGAGCAGAGGAGCGGCGAAGGGCCAAGGCAGAGGAGGAGGAGAAGGCCAAGCTAGAGGAGCAAAAACTTAGGAAGCAGGTAGAAGAGAAAAGAAACGAGACACAGGAGAGAAAGATCAGAGGGGGCAAGGTAGACGAGAAAATAGAAGGGAAACGGGTCAATGAGAAGAAGGTACAAGAAGACAAAGCTCAGACAGCCGTCCCAAAGACCCAGGTACAGTTAACTCTGCACCCACTGTGTGATGCCTGCCATTGTGAGAAGTGGAATGCACGGCCAATTTGGGGTTGAGGCCACATTCGTACACCCCCACGTGCTTGACCCTTGGGTGAGCTCTTCATTTTCTTCAGGCCATAGCAATAAGCAAGCAGGAAGCAGTTGGTTAATGGCTAAATAAACAATTTAGCTAAATTTACCGGGACAACCCGAGAGACATTCATTGGTTGGTGCTTGGTTGCTATGAATACTGAACAAAAAGAAAATGAATTAACCCAAAGAGGCAAAGCTGTGGTTTCATGTGGACTTGTGATTCCATGCCCGCACCTTGACTCCTTGTTTTTCCCATCTTATCTCTGTCCATACGTCTACATGAGGCAAGAGGCCCAGAATGCCTCACTTCACTCACGTGTTTGACATTTAATTTAAAAAAATGATAAAAGTTGGGGTGGGAATCATGGTCAGAAATTCCATCGTAAGGTGGCAAAAATACACACTTTGAAGTCAACTAGGAGTAAGAGGGAGGAGAGAGGAGCTGGTTCGGATCTTTCATAAAAAATGTCAAACACTGCCTTACCATCATGTAGACCTGAACTTAAAGTAGACTTGCAGATAGCCCTTCACTGGGGTAGACATGATTTATAATTGGTTAGTAATTAAGACTGGCGGTTCAAACCCACCAGCCACTCCTCGGAAGGAAGATGGGACAATCTACTTCCGTAGTGATACTGCCTTGGAAACTCAAGGAGGGGTCACTATGAGTCGGGTCCTACTCGACAGCACATAACAAGGTAGCAACAGTAATTAAGAGCATACATTTTGCTTCTTTTTCATCTGTGTGACACAAATTTGTGTAGCCCAAGGAAGGGCAGAAATAGTGGGAAAATAATGTAAGCTACTAATTTTTTTTTTTTTCCTGTCTGCAAGGCTGCCTTAAAAGCAATGTACCTAACCACCCACAAAAGACCCAAGACACTTGCACACTCACCTCTCCAAAGAGAACTCTCTGTCCCTCACTCTGCCTTGCACTGAAGCTGTCTTTCACCCCTGCTTCTGTACGAGGGGTTCATGAACACACTTGTAATTGAGCAACTCAGGACCCCAGTGCACCAAACCACACACGAGGCTTTAACACTCACCAGGAGCATCGTGTCTTGCTAGGTTTCCGTGAGCACTGTGGCACATGGGGAAAAGCGTTGGTGGGAAGAAAGCCTTCCCCCTCGCTGTCCAGAACCACCAGCACTAGAGGGAAGTATGAGCACTGAGACAGAAAACAGCCAAGTAACCCCCTGGCACACGCACACGCACACACACACGCACACGCACATGCACGGTGTGATCTCTTGTAAGAGAGGGCTTCTTTTAAACGTATGATCTGACCATTCTTGAAAAGGAAAAGGGAGAAGAAAAAGGGGCCAAAGTGCAAGTGAAAAGAGAAAAGTCCCAAGAAGACAAGCCTACCTTCAAAAAAGAAGAGGTAACTATCACTGTGACATTAATCAGAGAGCAGGGTTCCCGGACATTTCAGGTCTGAACTCCAACTTGTAACCTCGAGGCCAGTGTTTTTCAAACGATGACTCATTGTCCACTGAGTGGTGAAATCAATTTAGAGGCTCTTGAAATTGGTTAAAAGTGCCCATCAGCATTTTTAAAAGTGAAATAGAGTCGGAAAAAAAATATCAAAGGGCACTGTGGGTCATAAGCATTGCTGTGTGTTGTAAACTCTCTTTTCCGCTGTGGGTCACAGTCAAAAACGTTTGAAAAACTCTGCTCTAATCAGTCTTCCTGGGCTTCCGACTCTCCTGTGTGCTGTTTGTTTTCTCTCGAGCTGTTCTCCTTCCATTTCAACCATGAACTGTTTCCAACTGGCTTTGACTAATGATTTAAGTTTTCAAAGGAAAAACACTCCCATACATCTCAGTAGAAAATTTGGCGAACGGAAGCCGATGCTTGGTTTTCAAAAGAACAGTTTGGCAAAAGGCTCTGCATTGCATTTCTGAGGCACACACAGAAGCTGGTGCCAGGGTGTTGACTGTACGGTAAGTAAAGGAGCTGGTAGACCAGACGCTGTTGCTGATAGGCTGCCATTACTCTCCCATATAATTGAAATGCCGTATCAGAACGCCTGGCCCCATTTTAACCATTGTCCTTATTTTAGCTCCAAGTAATGCCTAGAAATTGTGACGATACGTAAGAAATCCAAGTGGTAAAACTGAATTCTCAAAGGTAGGAAGACTTGAACGAATTTGCCAATGGAACCGGTAAAGTGAGTTGTAGCCATGGAGTCCCAAGCCAAGTGGATTCTTGCTATGTTTTTCTATGTCTTACAACATATATTAACAACTCGCAAAATTTTAAATCTAAACATTTTAAATGCATATTAGATAATAGACAAAAAACTAAAAAAAAAAGCAAACACACTGCCATTGAGTCTAATCTGACTCGTAACAACCCCTCCTTGGGTTTCGGAGGCAATATCACTACGGAAGTAGATTGCCCAACCTTCCTTCCAAGGAGTGGCTGGTATTAGATAATAGATGAACCAGACTAAACAGACGATGGTTGTAAACCTCATATCATGAGATTCATGTGAAAAAGAAGAGCCCCTTGTTCATTTTATATACTTGATTCATTTTGTTTAAGACGTACGTTCCCCCTGGTTTTAAGAGAACATGTCGTGGTTTGAGAGTGACAGCTGAACTTGAACGCTGCTCAGGTCAGAGAAACAGTAGCAATGCTGTAACTGGACAAGGGTAATGAGGCCACGAAGGAGAATAGTTGAACACATTGAGAAATACTATGGTCGTTTTGTGATAGATCAACACCAACAATTCATCTGCAAAAGCGGAAGTTACCTTGGACTCCACTCAAGCAGAAATGTCTCCCACAGGTTCTGTTATCAAGCTCGTATTTGGTGATGAACGTATTTGATATGGAGTCCCTGGGTAGCAGAAACAGTGGTTGCTACTAAGGCAAAGGTTGCAAGTTCGGACCCACCCAGGCACCGTGGAGGAAAGGCCTGCTGACCTGCTTTTGAAAGGTCACAGCTGAAAACTCAACAGAGCACAATCCACTCCGAAATACCCGGGGTCACCCTGAGTCAGAATCAACTCAACGGCAGCAGGCCACGTTTATTGCAGTCCTATAAAAGAAGGACAAACAAAAACAACAAGCTTCCTGGCCACAGTCTTCCATTTAGTAGCAAGACTTAACCATTTGCCCCTCTGGTGGTGTAGTGCCTAAGGCACTTCCCTGCTAACCAGAAGGCTGGCAGTTCAAACCCATCACCCACTCCTCAGAAGGAAAGTTGGGCAATCTACTTCCATAGAGGTACCACCTCAGAAACCCAAGAAAGGGTTGCTGTGAGTCAGACCCAACTCAATGGCGGTGAGTTTGTTTTAGGAGAAGTTAACATTCTATATTTAAAATTTCATTCAAGTCTCCAAGCAAACTTTAGAGCTGAAAGCAATTGTGGACTTGTGTGTATTCCCACAAGTGGCAGCCGGAATCCATCTTGCTCATTCAAAAGTCACTATGCCCCTCAAGACTGTGGCCTCTAGTTACCCTTAAAAAAAAAAAAAAAAATCATTCAATTCAGTAAAATGAGATTTGCATGTAGTGATCAAAACGTTCTATGTCTGTTTTGGTGTCTTTGAGCTGGTGATGTACTGATTAAAGCATTGGGCTGACAACCAAAAGGTAGGCCGTTCAATCCTCACGGCTGCTCTATAGGAGAAAGACAAGGCAGTCAGCTTCCATAAAGATTCACAGCCTTGGAACCCCTTTGGGGCAGTTCTGTCCTATAGGATTGCGATGAGTCAGAATAGATTTGAAGGCGGTGGATTTGGTTTGAGCTATTGCCTCTTTTCAGATAAGGCCAGAGTTCACGATGTCCATGGCATCACTAAGACACTGCAGGGAGTGGTTTCAGACCTGCCCCTTCCCAGCTGGCCTTGCCACACTCACCATTCCAATGTCCCCACACTTTTGCCTCTTTTTGACCCAAGCCCAAATGAGCTCCTTAACCCCAGCTTAAAACTGATAGTAATAACCCATCAGTCCTGCTTCAACATTGTGCGCATAAGTTTCCTTGTTGAAGGACTGCATTTGTCTCCTCATGAACTGGTATCTTGCTTTGTGTTGACTGGATTAAATCATGTTTACATGATTCTGCCATTTAAACAACTCCATCCTTTTCCTTTTTTGTTGGAAAAAAAAACTCTTCTTTTCGAGAGTCTGTGCAGCCTAGGCCTGCTATGTGTCCCATCAATGAGGACAGACATCCTAACAGTTCAGAGAGAACAGTTCAAGAAGGCACTCCAATACCTTTAACAATCCTGCCTTCCTCCCACTGCTGTGTAACTCTGTTTGTGGCGGTGGACAGTGGACAGTCACCAACTTCGCCACTTTCCTTAGCCTGCCTTCTCCTCACCCCAGAGCTCGGGCTCTCAGCCTTGCTCTGTTTTTCCTCCCTGACTTGTCACAGGGAAACAAAGTTCTCAGCACATCTGCTCCTATAATATCAAAACAGATGTCTGAGTCATTTAAGGCAAAGCTCCTCGAATACGAGCGAGCCTGCGGAGTACCCAGGCATCTCCCGAAAGGCAGAATCTGGCTCCGTGGGTCCAGGCCAAACTTCCAGTAGCAAGGAGTCTGGAGGACACCGGTATGAGAGAAATTGGGCCCCGAAAAGGATTGGGGCTTCTGCAACTCACAAAAGACCGTTCCAAGTAGTCAGAAAAACTGTACCTTGCACCCAACTCTCTGCAGGTCTCAATCCCAGATATAAAAATCCATCTTGTAAGTGTCAAATGTTTCAAAATAGAGTTGATTGAAACACTTCCTCTGAAAAGGGACCATCCGGAAGCTATTAGAAAAGAGAAGAAGAAGAAAAAAAAAGCATAGAAAATGGGTAACTTTCCCTAAGCGTTGACATTCCAAGTAAACACAAGAGGGCAGCATTGTAGAACAAATTTGAGGTGTGATGAAGGCCCGTTTGTGTTGGAGTGCATTGGGCTTGATGGCTTGTGGGTTTGGTTTTATGTTATTTGTTAAGTTTTTTGCTGTGAAAAACCGATCCTTCCCTCTGAGAACCGGCCTTGAGGTATCCCTGAGCTGATATGCACTGCTGCCTCTCCCACCCTCGACTTCATATTTTGGCCCTTGATCTGAGAGTATTTATTACCAGAAGCTTTTGGGTTTTTTAAGTTCTTAATAGCATCAGCAGGGAACGAATATATTGACCAAGTCAAACACCAAGAACAGCCTTAGTGTTTCCAAAAGCTTGCAAACTAATGTCACTGCACATCTCACCTCCTTTCCCCTGCTCTGACTTCTGTCAGCCTCTTGGTTTGCTCCTGGAGTGTGAAAGTAGCTTTCCATTGCCCATCTCATTAAAAAACACCTGTAACCTGCACCCAGCTCTTGTTCCTATGCTAGACTCAAATACTGCAAAGCCATCCCCTAGAGACTGAAACTCAGTCCTTTCTGAATGCTCATTCAACCTTGAGTGTCCCTCTGGGACGAGTATGTGTCTTGCATTTCTACCTCACACACCCACTGCTACAAGACAAGAGTATTTAAAACCTGTCCAGGTTTTTTATCCCAGGGACCACGTTTGGGTCGACTTTCCCATGAGCATGCTGATGCTATCTGTGTATGGAGAACTCTTTCAGGACACTTGGCTACCTGTTAATCCCTCAGCACAAATTTTCTTCATGGTAACCTCCTGACTTAGAGAATCCAATGCTTTTCCCAAGGAGTTCCGCATCCCATGGCCTTGGGTTTAATATTCCATAGAATTCAGTCCATTACAAAGACTGTTGTTGCTGCGTGTCGTCGATTCGATTCAGCCCCTAGCAACCCCACGTGACAGAGCAGAACTGCCGCATAGAGTTTTCTTGGCCGTAATCTTCGAAACAAGAAAATACTGTAAATTGTATTGTGATTTGGGTGAAAGTTGACAGAGAAAATTCATTTTCCATACAGCAGCTCACATAAACTTTGTCTCATGACATTGACTATGATTCCCCACAATGCAACAGCTCCACTCCCACTTCCTCCCCATAGTTACCTCTTCCCTGTGTCCTTCCCTCCCATGCTCTCCTGCCCCCTGAGCTGTCTCCCTGTGCATATGTTGCAAAGCTCAGATTGTCATTATACCCACTCCACTTATCAATATGATTAGTTTCTAAAGGCCAGGTCATTATGCAAACATGGGCATTATGCAAAAGTAGAGATGACCACATCAGATCACAAAATGGAGGATGACTGTATCATTACGTAACTGCCAAATGACATCATTACATAACTGCCAAACCACGGAGAATCACGGCCCCGCCAAGTTGGCACATAACCTTCACCATCACAGCCAGTGTTACTTTCACCTCCACCCTGGCATTCGTTACTGCCAGACGTGTGGTGTTAATGTGCAAAATAGTTGGATACTATTTCATAAATGTGAACCGTCAGATAACGAGACAGTCAGTGAGGAGGAGATGCATGTGACTGAGCATTTTTCCAAGAGTTTCCCAAAGGGGACACAGGCATATCATCCACTATCGTATGTATGACTTGCTCAAAGTGACTCAGCTAGTGAACAGCACTGGAACTAAAACTCAGGTTTCCTGACTTCCGGACAGAACTCTCAGAGAAAGAGGCAAGATAACGCTTCCCTCTCCAGCATCACGGGGCATCCAGCTATATACCCCTTGGAGAAAGATTAAACTCTTAACTAATTAAGATGGCATGATGGTAAATAGCCTATCTATAGTAATTTAATGAACTAACAACCAAAGAAGACAATCGGGCAAAGGGCTCACCAGTAAAGAGTAAATAGGGCACTAGGCTTTGTAAAAAAATGTACTCTATAAGGCATCTGGCTGCTAACCAGAAGGTCTGCAGTTCAAACCCACCAGCCACTCCATGGAAGGAAGATGGGGCAATCTACTTCAAGATTAACAGCCTCGGAAACCTAGTGGGGCTGGCTAGGAGTCAGAACCAACTGGGAAACCCAGTGGGGGCCTCTAGGAGTCATAACCTACTCTATGGCAGTGAGTTTGGTTTGGTTTGGTTAGGATTAGGTGCTCAGAGGATATCTGACGAATAGCTGGAAAGAGATGAGTGATCAGGGTGGGGGAGAACATCTTCATAGAACCTAAAGCCCTAAGTTCTCATGCCCTACCACCTCCTAAGGCTTCTTTAGAATGTTAGTGCTGGTAGTAGTTTTCTTGAAAAGAACAATCATGAACCTCACCTGTTTTCACACTTATCTTTTAAGAATGGGTGAGAGACTGTAGGCAAAGTAATTTGAACTTTACACACACCCATAAGAAGTTCTGCAGATGCAGCGGTTAAAACATTCAACTGCTAACCAAAAGATTGGTGGTTCAAACCCACCAGCCAGTCTGTGGGAGTAAGATGAGACAATACACTTCCCTGAAGATTTTCAGCCCTGGAAACCCTGTGGGCAGTTCCTACAGGCTCACGTTGAATTGGCATTGACTCTATGGCAGTGAGTTTGGTTACCACCCCACCAAAAAAATAAATAAGTAAATATGTAAATTCAATTTACTTTGAAATCATATCTCTCATTTCCCCTGAGGAGCTGGCAATACAAAACCCATAAACTAATAACACTAATAACTACCCTCCAGGTTCCATCTTCTGTCTCCCAATAATAACAATGACCACAGGAATCCCAAAACCACATAAAGAGGCAATGGAAGTCAAAGCAAACCCTGGAATTTTTCTTATTCCGTCCTAACTTTTAGTGGTGGTGACTATAAGTGGTCTATCAGAGGTAGAGTTAAGAGATCTTCCAATCTTGGGAGCCTAGTTATTCATTTGATTGAAATTCAAGGGTGTTCTTCCCCTGATGTCTGCCAGGATTGGTTTGGCAGATCAGGCTGACTTGATAAGTTTCCTCTTCTTGCCTTCTCAACACACCAGTTTCTTTCTCAAAGGTATACCCTCCATCAAAGAATAAATTTGTCCAAACAACGTCTTCCATCAGGGCCACGCTGATATCCTCCCCAATGGGAACTGCAAACAGTTAATCTAACATCGAGTTCCCAGAACATCATAGTTTCCAGACGGTAATACCCACACTGCTCCTGAAAACAAAAACCACAGTGAGATTGGGAATGATCTTGACTTCCTAAAATTGTGGCCAAGGTCCTTGCTCAGAGGCTGAAGGACCACAGCTCACTCTCTAAAAATTTCCTCCCACCTTAGCTTTACAACATCATTCTCCTGAGGTTTGTTTTTCTTCTGAGTTTTCTGGCTTCCTGACAATGATAGGGTCTTCTTTGTTAACATCAACCAAAACCTACTAAGATCCGTATCGCTGTTTCTTCCTCGTGTGTACTGTTGGTTAGATCAAAGATGAGAAGATTAAAAAGGACAAAGAGCCCAAAGAAGTGAAGAGCATCTTGGATCGGAAGAAAGGATTCACAGAAGTCAAGTCGCAGAATGGAGAATTCATGACTCACAAACTTAAACACACTGAGAACACTTTCAGGTAAGAGGTATGGCTGGTTAACAGCGACTATGTTCATATGTGGGGAAGAAGTATCAGTATCTGTCTCCTGGGCCCCAGAGCATGCTAGTCAGGCAACATACTTTTGTTGTGAAATCACTGGCCATTGTCTCAGAGATACTGAGTCAGCAGCCCATGCTTTCCACATCTCACAGACTGGGATTATCTGCTCTGCCCTGTTCTAAGCAAGACGGATCAGTGCTTGGCATGCCTGTTTTTGTTCACTGACCTAATACGCTCACATCAGATCAGTTTATTAGAAAGCGTTATGAATGGGTTGAGTATCATAGATTCATTCTCTGGATGGTCTAAGAGACCCTTTCCAGCACCATTCCTCCTAGTGTGTTTCTAAAGATTATAAATAGATATTGCACAAAACTAAAATTAGGACTCCCTGTGGGGTACCAATAGTTAAGTCTTCAACTTGGAGCTGAAAGGCTGGTGGGTTGAACCCACCCAGAGAGGCCCAGGAAGACTGGCCTGGTGATCAGCCTCTGAAAGGGCCCAGGCTTGTAAACCCTGGGGAGCAGTTCTCCTCTGCACATGTGGGGGCGCCCTGAGGCAGAGTCACCTTGACAGCAACTAACAACAGTAAAACTGAAACTCGTTCCATGGGCAAATACAGCAGAAGTACCATGAGAGCCGGAACTGGATGGGACCACCTTGTTTTTCCAGGTCTCAAAATGTCCTGCCTATGGCAGGGTACACTCACCATTTTTCTGTCACTCTGTGTAGTGAAAAATACTGTTTTCCTTCTCTAACCTGTGAAACCTTTTGCAGGTTTTACTGTACTTGGGAAACATTTGATGAAATTAATCCCATGTCTTGACCACAGGACTTTGACAGCCCTTGATATGCTAATTTGCACTGGGACTCTCTAAGAGGGGGAAAGAGGGTGTGGGGCTAAGGCCGCACTTAACACATTTTGGAAAACTCTGTTTTTAGCTTCAGCTTCCCCTCCTCACCTACCTACTGGCCCCATCATATTGAAAATCTGGTCATTGATTATAGGACAGACAAGGCCAGTACCTGCAAGGACATCCTCACTTTTAGACACATCTAAGTTCTGGAAGCTCCCCCAGGGTTTGTAGGGCTTACGTCATAGAAGCCTGCCATGGGCACCTGGTGACTTGATTCTCCACACTTCATTCCCACACACACCCGTCAGCCACCAGGTCCAGACTCCAGCCCTCTGTCAGCCACTGTTCCAGAGATGCTGGGACAGAGACTAGGGTCCTTGTGATGTGAATTTCATGGTGTTGTTCTCTGGTAGCAGCCTCACCCATAGACCCTGTTTCTCTGGACACTTCAAATAGGTCAAGTCACCAAGCAGGTGCAAGCCTATCTCATTGGACTGCACTTTGAGTTGCTGCATTTTGCAGATACTGCATTATTTACAAATGGAAGGTTTGTGGCAACTCTGCCTCAAGCAAGTCTGTCAGTGCTGTTTTTCCAACAGCATGTGCTCACTTCCTGTCTCTGAGTCACATTTTCCTCATTCTCACAATATTTCAAACTTCTTCATCATGCTAAGGTGCTCTGGTGGTTCAGTGCCCAAGCCATTTGACTGCTAAGCAGAAGGTTGGTGGTTCAAACCCACCAGCCACTCCACAGAAGGAAGACTGGGTAATCTACTTTTGTAAAGATTTACTGCCTCAGAAACCCAAAGGGGGTTGCTGTGAGTCGGAATTGATTCAATGGCAGTGAGGTGTTATTCTGGTTCCCTAGTGTCACTCTGACAAGAATATACCAGAAAAGGGATGACCTTAACAAACAGGAGTTTACTCTCTTACAGTTTGGAGGCTAGAAGTCCGAGTTCAAACTGCCAGGCTCTAGGGGCTGTGTGAAAGCCCCTCGACCTTGGGCTTCAGCTCTGCCTCTTGTTCCCGGCCTGCTGAAGCTAGAGGCATCTCTTCACTCAGGCAGCTACTACCTGTTGAAGCTAACAAGCCCAAGGTCAACAAATAAAATGGCATAGTCCCCATTAAGTCCCCATTAATTCAAGTCCATTGTAAGTCCCAAGGTCAGCAGAGCATGGCAGGCTGCTGAACAATGACACAACTACATGCAGGGTCCAAGCATGCCATAAGCTAGAGACTATCCCCAAGGCTTCTCCTTATATACAGGAAGCAGACCACATCCCAAAGGCAGCTACTCAGCTGCTTGTGGGAGATCCCACCGTGGAGCTGATTGCCAGTCTCTTCATGGGGAATAACTACCACCAGCTGCCCAGCCACTCAACAAGGCCCAGCCAAGTTGATATACAAATTTAACTACCACAGGTTTTTGTTTTTTTTTTCATCATGCTATTTCACACTCGATAGACTCCACTATAGTGTAAGCTTAACTTTTATGTGCACTGGGAAATGGAAAAAATCATGTGACTCACTTTATTGAGATACTCGCTTTACCATGGTGGTCTGGACCAAGTCTGTGATATCACCAAGCTGTACCTGTCCTGTGAGAAGCCTGGCATGCTCCTTATGCCAGGGCCTTTGTAACACTCAGAAGCAAGTAGAGCCACCAGAATGGAAGTTTCCTGATCATCTGAGAGGCTAAGATAGGTCAATAGAGTTTCCTCAAAATAATTTTTCTATACAAAAATGTGAGCAAAAGTCCAGTCACATTTGCACAGAGAAGTACCTGGAGTAGAGGGAAGGAGGTGTGCGTGGAACACGACTGTGACAGAGCAGAAGGGTAGAACCTGCAGATGTAACTTGGAATTGGCAGGACAGTAGCTGGGAAAATGTAAGGTTCTGCGAGTCCCTAGAAAATCTAGACAACAAGTGGATTCAGACTGGTAAACTGAGTCCACAGTTGGCCCAAACACCTGTAGTTTAATGCTTCAAAGCCCTGAAACAGTGTCAAGTTCATGAACAATGTAGTATACCTATTGACTGATAATATTGTTATAGTTTGATTATTTGGTAGGTTAAAATACGTTTTATACATTTTTAAAATAGAAATAATGCTTTAAAAAGCCTATCAGTAGACGTTTGGTTAACGATTAGCAAATTTGCCCACCAGCTTCAAAAAAAGCTCAAATCAATAATTAACGTGTCTATTGTTTGGGGCTCTGGCGGTATAGTGGTTAAAGCACTCAGCTGCTAAGCAAAAAGGTCAACGATTCAAACCCAGCAGCTGCTCTGGGGAGAACGATGAAGCAGTCTGCTTCCGTAAAGATTTACAGTCCTGGAGACCCTATAGGACAGTTCTACTCTGTCCTGTAGAGTTGCTGTGAGTCAGAATCGACTCAATGGCAGTGGGTTTGGTTTTTAGGTATTATTATTTGGAGGAGTCCTGGTGATGGTTAAGAGCTGAGCTGCTAATCCTAAGGTCAGCTGTTCAAACCCACTAGCCAGCCCAGGGGAGAACAATGTAGCAGTCTTCTCCTGTGGGGACTGCAGCCTGCGAAACCCTGTGGAGCAGTTCTACCCCGTCCTATAGTGGGTGTTGGTATTGTTTGGAAATCCAACAAAAAACTCCAAACCCACTGCCATCGAGTGTTTCCAACTCACAGAGACCCCAATTGGGTTTCCGAGGCTATAAATCTTTGCAGAAGTAGATCAGCCAGTCTACCTTCCACAGAGCAGCTAGTGGGTTTGAACTGCTGACCTTCCAGTTAGCAGTCAAGTCCCTTATCCACGATACCACCAGAGCTCCTGGTGTATTCAAAGAGAGGCAGCTTCACAGGGATGGGACAGGTTGAGCACTCTCATTTCTGACTCTTGCTTTAATTTTTCCATCTTTGAGCAGGAAAACGTAGAGGAACAAGCTGCCACCATAGCACTGGTTTCAGTTTTAGTGGCAAACACACATTAGCTTCTCTTTCCATTAGCAGCTGATGTGGATCAAAGCAGAGAAACATGGCTCTGGTCCACATACTATAAAGCAAGGAGCAAGGAAAGGAGTAAGAGTGTCTATTTAGATAAGCTTGTTGTTATGTGCCATCAAGTCAGCCCTGACTCCTAGCGACCCCTCCTTGGTTTCCAAGGCAGTATCACTACGGAAGTAGATTGCCCAACCTCCCTTCTGAGGAGTGGCTGGTGGGTTTGAACCACCAGCCTTCTGGTTAGCAGTCAAGTGCCCTAGGCGCTATGCCACCAGAGCTCCTTTAGATAAGCTTAGTACCTACCAAGATGAGCTCTGGTGGCATAGTGGTTAAAGCATTAGTCTGTTAACCAAAAGATCAACAGTTTGAACCCACCAGCCACTGCATGGGAGACAGCTGTGGCACTTTGCTTCCATAAAGATGACAGCCTTGGAAATCCTCTGTGGCAGTTCTTCTCTGTCCTGTAGGGTCACTATGAGTCGCAAGTGACTGAATGGCAATGGACTTGGTTTGGGTTTAGGAGTTTCCAAGTGGTGCAGACAGTTAACGTGCTTGACTGTAACCCAAAGGTTCGAGGTTTGAGTCCACCCAGAGGTACTCGAAAGAAAGGCCTGGTGACTCTTTCTGAAAAATCAACCACCAAAATCCCTATAGAGCATAGTTCTGCTCTGATGCACACAGGGTCTCCCCAAGTAGGAATTAACTCGACCACAACTGGATTGGGAGTCCCTCCGTTAACCGACAGCAAGGTGGTGTTCTTTCCAACTTACCTCAGTAAGGCAGAGAGAGACGAGAACCTTGGGGGTAAAACTCCCAGAGAAGTGGCTCCCTACACTGGGGCCGTGCCAACACACATGGGCAGAGACCCTGTAGACACAACCCTTGCTCTTGCTTTGAACACAGCTCCTTGTGTCTACCTGAATCACCGGTCCCCTTAGTATTCCTGTTTCCTCATAATTGCATTGTTTCCAACCTGACATAAAAATTGCAATTGAATGAACAGCTATGGAGATAGCACATTATACCAAGGGTTTTATTCAAAGTACAAAATGAGAATTTGTTTGGCTTTTTGTTTATTTTTTAAGGCAGAAGTTAAAATGTTTTGCTGATTATAGAAGAAAAACGTGTTCATTATAAAACATTCAGAAAATAAAGGTATAAAAAATGAACCCAAAGATAACCACTATTAATATTTTTCTAGATAGTTCCCATGTGTATACAATCAAGATACACACACATGTATACATATATGTATACTATATATATAATAGAGCTATGTACATGTGAACGTAATTATAAAGATATACTTTTAAATTAAGTCTTCCATTGTGTATAGCATACATCATAGCTAGATTTCTATACCAATAAATATAAACCTAGAACCCAAGTTTTAATGAAGTTAGGGTACTGGATTCCACTCTAGGAATGTATCATGATTCAAGCCCTGGTGGCACAATGGTTAAGTGCTTGGCTGGTAACCAAAAGCTTGGCAGTTCAAACCCAGGCAGCAGCTGCATGGGAGTAAAGACCTGGCAGTCTGCTCCCGTGAAGATTACAGCCTCAGAAGCCCTGTGGGGCGGGTCTACTCTGACATGGGGTCTCCATGAGTCAGCAATGACTCAGCCCACACAACAGTGGACACTGTCCAAAATGAAGACTGCGTGACACTCAGTGGCATCCAGAGAAACGTCCATAGGCGGGTGTTCTGCCAGTGTGACTCCTGTACACAAAGGAAGAGCAAACCCATCCTGACCATGGGCCACCAACCTGTAAACCCTCAAAAACCAAAAACCAAACTAAACTCACTGCCGTCGCGTTGATTCAACTCATAGTGACCTCTCTACAGAAGGAGATTGCCTAGTCTTCCTTCCAAGGAGTGGCTGGTGGGTTTGAACTGCCAGCCTTCTGGTTAGCTGTCAAATGCCTTAGGCACTATGCCACCAGAGGTCCTCAAGAACAGTGTAAATTAGGTCAATATGAGTCAGAATCAACTCGACAGCAGTGGGTTTTTTCACTTGAGTTCAAAATTGAAGAATACATCTTTAACTGTAGGAGTCTAGAACAATATTTTTAAACTTTTGAACGTCAACCCATAGTAAGAAATAAATTTTATATCCTGATCCAGTACACACACACACACACACATATATATGTATGTATTTATAATTGAAACCAAACCCCAAAAACCTGTGGCTATCTAGTTGATTCCTGATGACTCTGAAGCGGGGTACAACTGCCCCACAGGGGGTCCGAGGCTGTTGTCTTTGGAAGCAAACTGCCACATCGTTGTCCCATGGAACTGCTGGTGGATTCGAACTGCCCACCTTTTGGTTAGCAGCTTAGCTGCACCACCGGAGCACCCGAAAGGGACGATGCTTCTATCTCTTACACAGGCGTGTCAGGGACGGGCCACCTATGTTCAGCCCTAGTCAGAACGATCTCACTACTTGTTAATTAGTATTTAAATAGCAGACAAACTATATCCTTGTCGCTTAGTGAAGGCCACTTATAACGGGGCCCTCTGAGCGCACCACTGTTACTTGCTGTCCACAGCACACCACTAAATTCACCTAAATAAAATCCCGGGTTAGGAGGCCAGCGGCCCGGGGGCAGACCTAGATCCCAGGCCCACCGCAGCCCCAGGCCTGGGCTGGCGCAGGCCCCACTGTCTCAGGGCGGGCCCATTCCGGCCTGGTTGTGGGTCCTTCCGGTCCCTGCAGCCTGCAGATGCTGAAGGGCGCCCCCTGCATGAAAACCTCCTCTGCTTCCCGGCAGCCGCAGCGGAGGGAGGCCGAGCGCCGAGGCCAAGGAGGCGGAAACGGCTTCCCAGGTGGAGACGGGCAGGCGCCTGGAGGAGCTGCGGCGCCGGCGCGGGGAGACAGAGAGCGAGGAGTTCGAGAAGCTCAAGCAGAAGCAGCAGGAGGCGGCCCTGGAGCTGGAGGAGCTGAAGAAGAAGAGGGAGGAGCGGAGGAAGGTTCTGGAGGAGGAGGAGCAGAAGAAAAAGCAGGAGGAGGCCGAGCGCAAAGTCCGGGAGGAGGTAAGGACGCGGCCGCCAGCGCCCTCAACGCCCTCTAGTCCCTATTGAAACGCCGCTGCTCTTTGGAACCTAGGCCCCAGCACTGATTTTAAGTAAAACTGAACTTCCTGTGTGCTGGGTGTGTGCTTTACTGGTGTTAACTCATCTCAATCTCGCCAAAGCTCTTTGACATGGGTGCGCTTGTCCGCTCCATGTTGCAGGTGAGGAAACTGAGGCACGGTGGGGGGTTGTCACTTGCCCAGGGTCTCACAGTTCATTAGCGGAGGAGCTGGCATTTTCCACAGGAGCAGTCCACTGGGCTGGCCCCATGGTCCTTCATGCTCCTTAATAAAGAACTGATGGGCCACCAGGAAGGGTCTTAGGGCTACAAATTAGCACAAGGACTAAGGAACACATCACCTGACAGCTGGTTTTTAATATGTCACGACTTTTCATATAGTAAATTTGTTTGTTTGTTTGTTTGGCTGACTTTTTTGTTTTGTTTTGTTTTTAATGGAAAAGTAAACAGACTTGAACGCAGCAGGTGGGGACCATACGCCCTTTATTCACTACCATAGACCCAGGACCCAACACAGTGCCTGGTGGGTGGCAGGAGACCAACAATTATTGGTTGAAAGAAGTAACAGATGGTTGTGTTCCATCTGGTAAGACACACCCCAATCCAACAGCTGAAGTTACAAGGAGACAAATTTTGGCTTCACATATGAAAACATTCATAACCAACTACAACTTATATTGCTACAGATTACAAAGGGCATCATTTCTTTTCATCCTCAGTAATTATTGTTCTCATTGGATGGACCAAAAAAAAAAAAAAAAAAGATTTTGGTTTATTATGAGCCCCGGAGTCCCTAGGTGGTGCAGAAGGTTAATGTACTCACCTGCTAACCAAGAGGTTGGAGGCTTGAGCCCATGCAGAGGCACCTCGGAAGGAAGGCCTGGAAATCTACTTGCAAACACTCAGCCGTGAAAACCCCGTGGCGCACACTCCCCCCGACACACACGGAGTCGCCCTGGGTCTGAATCAACTCAGTGGCAACTGGTTGGTTTTTGGTTTTTATCTGGTAGTGCAGGGCCTGAGGCATTTGACTGCTAAACAGAAGGCTGGCAGTTCAAACCCACCAGCCACTCCTCAGAAGGAAGGTTGGCCAAGGAGGGGTCACTATGAGTCGGATCTGACTCAAGAGCAGTGAGTTTGGGGTTTTTTTTGGTTTTTACAGATGAAGAAACTGAGGCACCGAGCATGTGGGTAGCATGCCCAAAGCGGCACAGCTGGGAAGGGCACAGCACCAGAATGCAAACCAGGCAGTAGAGTCAGAGACCACCAGGGAGGAAGGCCACCCAGCCGAGAGCCTAGGTCCTCTGTTCTCGGTCCGGCGTGCTTCGCCTCCAGAGCTCTGCCTTTCCAGTCGGTCTGGAGCGGTATCAGTGGCCTTTTTATGTGTTCTTTCTCTCCTAGGAAGAGAAGAGGAGGTTAAAGGAAGAGATTGAAAGGCGGAGAGCAGAAGCTGCTGAGAAACGCCAGAAGATGCCGGAAGACGGCTTATCTGACGACAAGAAACCATTTAAGTGTTTCACTCCCAAAGGTTCATCTCTCAAGGTACTTTTTCCCAGAAAATCTTATGATATGAGAAACTTGATTTGTCTCCTTATTTAGATACTGATTATCCAAGGCCTTTGCATCCTTTATCTTTTTGAGATCCATCTTTCAGCCATCTCACAGCTGCTTTTTGCTTCCAACAGGTGGGAGAGAAGGCAGTACCTCTTACTTATTTGATGCTTTGATGTTCATTAAAATGGCACCAGGTGACTCTCTCTACTCTGTTCTGACTCATGCTTTCCATGCGGCTCGACTCGTTGCTTTGAGCAATTGAATATGGAAAACATCTAAAATTTCAAAAACAGCCAAATATAACAGTTTGAGCTATTTTTCATGATAGTGTTGACTTTTTTTCCTCTGCCTTTATTAAAAGCTGGGCAGCTAGAAATAGTGCAAGTTCAACTTTTGAGGCTATTCTTTTGTGAGAAGGTAAAACTTGACTCAGATAGGACCCTTAGCCAGGATGAGAATGGTCCAACTACTGCCTTCCCAGGGCATTGCTCCAAATTGACAAAGGATAGAAAGGAAGCCAAGAGGGACAAGAAGCTGGAAGGGCCTCAGTCGGAGACTTGATAGAATGGTTGAGATGGAAAGAGAAGATGCCAGGTTCAAGAAAGTCCTCTCTCTGACTTACAGTCAGTCTGCCATTATGTTCCTTTCCTTCTTTGAACATTTTATTGTGGTTTGGGTGAATGTTTACAGAGCAAACGAGTTTTCCATTCAACAATTTATATGCATTTTGTTTCACCACCTTGGCAATGGCTCAGTGTTACAGCACTCTTCCCACTTCCTCACTGGAGTCCACATGTCCATTCACCCCTCTTCCCTACCCCTTCCTGGCTTCTGAGCTTTGTTGTTGGGCAAAGGCTGGCCTTTTGGTCTCATGTGGTTGATCTGAGGAGCACATTTGTCATGGTGTTACTGCTCAGTGTATAGGTCTGTCTGTTGTTTGGCTGAAACGTGATCCCCCAGGGTGGGTTTAGGTCCAGGTTTGAAGGGTGTCTAAGGACTGGTTCTGCCAGTGTCTAAAAGACCAGTAAGTCTGGTCTTCCTGTGATTTTGATTTTGTTCTACATTTTTCTCCCTCTCTGTCCAGGACCTTTTATTGTGATCCCTATCAGTGTGGTCAGTAATGGTAGCTGGGCACCATCTAGTTCTTCTGGTCTCAGGGTGATGGAGGCTGGGGTCCATGTAGTCCGTTAGATCTTTGGACTAATTGTTTCCTTGCATCTTTGATTTGCTTTACTCTTCTTTGCTCCAGATGGGGAGGGGCCAATAGTTGCACCTTAGATGGCTGCTCACAAGCTTTTAAGAACCCAGTTTCTACTCACCAAAGTAGGATGTAGAAAAATGTCTTTGTGGACTATGTTATGCCAGTTGACCTTAGTGTCCCCCAAGACTATGGCCCCCCAACTCTAGTGCCTCAGTCCCTCAAGGTGTTTGGTTCTGGCTAAAAAGTTTTCCTACCTTTGTCCCACTTGGCTGCTAACCAGAAGGCTGGCGGTTCAAACCCACCAGCCGCTCCTCGGAAGGAAGGTTGGGCAATCTACTTACGTAGTGATACCACCTTGAAAACTCAAGGAGGGGTCGCTATGAGTCGGGTGCAACTCGACAGCACATAACAACAAACAACAACAAATATACATGGATATATGTGCAGCACAAGTAAACACGTATGTAGAAGTATTCTCTGCCAAACATGTATATATTCGTGGATGTGCTCCCATTCACCATCCTGCACCTCTTCAGCTTGCTTGTCTAGCTGTGTATCCATTCTGCAATCCCTGTTCGTTGTAACTGTTACTGCAGGATTGTGTGTGGAGTAATATTTATCATTGTTACCTTTTACTCTTGTGTTTCTCTCAGTGTCTTCCTTTGCTTTGCTGTGCTGACCACACAATTCCTGTAAATTTTTCAAAGATTTTTTTGCTTTGATGAGTAACCTTCATCGAGCACCTATCACGGTGTCTTACATGAGGACAATAGTAAATGTTTGTTGAATGAATGAATAACTGAGTGAGTCTACAGAGATTGCAGGTTTAATATTTTTATTCCACCCTCACTTTCACCAGTGTAGTGAGGTTACAAAGCATTGGCAGTGGACAAGCCAGCTGACCAATTGCCATCCAGTCAGTTCTGACTCACGATAACCCTGTGTGTCAGCAGAACTGGCCTCCATGGGGTCCTTGGTGGCTGATTTTTCAGAAAGAGATTGCCAGGCCTTCCTTTCAAGGTGGCTCTGGGTAGACTCGAACCTGCAACCTTTTGGTTAGCAGCCAAGTGCTTACCCATTTGTCATGCTCAGACTCCTAAGAAGACGTTTTATCTCCTCCCTTTGATAGAAAAGCATGTGTGAGCAGTTAAAGCAGATTTCTAAAAGAAGGACCAACCCATTTTTATTGTCTGTATAACAGAGGGAGAAGTGCTGGGGCCACAGTGCTTAAACACTGAGCTGTCAACCAGAAAGTCGGTGGCTCAACCCCACCAGCCACTCCCCAGGAGGAAAGACGTGGCAGTCTCCTTCTGTAGAGATGTACAGCCTTGAACACCCTGTGAGGCAGTTTTACTCTGTCCTGTAGGATTGCTGTGAGTCAGAATTGACTCGATAGCAGTGGGTTTTTTGTATATAACAGATGCTGGCATTCAGGACCGATCTAGTGCTTTTTCATGGCCCGTGCCGTGAAGGCCTTGCAGTGGCTAAGGTTTCAAAGCCCAGTCTACATTCTACAACGGAGTTCGAATAGCTGTTGATACTCTTGGCCCTGCAACTTGTATAAATGGCCCCAGGTTAACATTGTAGAATGCTGGTGGGAGGAAAAATACTTGATATTTGACCTTAAAATATTATCAACCAGAGCATTTTGTTAATTTTGCATGACTTCTGCTCCTTGTTTGGGAAACTGGTTTCTTGTAATTAAATGTTGGCCATGAATGATTTTTCTTACATAGCCCATGGAAAGAATAAATTTTAAGTAAGTTAGCTTTAAAGTTTTTTATTATTGTTATTGTTTTTGTATTTTTTCCCACATATTGGAGGGTCATGCAGTCATGTGAAAAGAAAGTCTTTTATTGATGATAATTACCCTGAAGGTAGGCGGCAGAGGACATTTCTGGCCCAGAGTTGGGTGTCCTAGGGAGTCAACAATATTTGTTGACTTATTAAGAACATTTGAGCTTGAAAGGTGCAGTTTCAGTGGAATGTAAGGGGAGTGAGGTGTTTGTTTCTTTCTGTCAAATCCAGTCTGACTTACGGCACCACGTGTGCACAGAATAAAAACACGCCATAGGATTTTCAAAGCTAAGGCCTTTCAGAAGCAGACCGCCAAGCCTGTCTTCTGAGGCACCTCTGGGTGGCTTTGCCAACCTTTCGGCTGGTAATCAAGGGCTTAACTTTGCAGTTTTCCAATACTGGAAGCATGCCTTTCTTCCTGGGTTTTATCAGAACAATACTGCCACCTCCTGGTCTTCAGAAGAATCAATTTCCTTTGTTAAAAATTAGACTATTTAACTTACAAATTAAGGAGTTCTGGTGATATAGTGGTTAAGGCATTTGGCTGCTAACCAGAAGGTTGGTGGTTCAAACCCACCAGCCACTCCATGGGAGAATGATGAGGAAGTCTGCTTCCGTAAATATTTACAGTCTTGGAAACCCAATGGGGGTTGCTGTGAGTCAGAATCGACTCAGTGGCCATGCGTTTGGTTTGATTTCAAGTTTGGTACACAGTGCAGCTCTGGTGGCACAGTGGTTAAGCACTCAGCTGATAGCTAAAAGGTCAGAGGTTCGAACTCACCAGCTACTCCACAGGAGAAAGCCTTGGAAACCCTACGGGGTGGTTCTACTCTATCCAATAGGGATGCTTTGAGTCAGAATCAACTCCAAAGCACCCAACAAGAAGAAGTTACAAATCCAATATATAAATTGTTACATCATGTAGAGTCTTAGACTAAATTAAGGAATTTTCCAACAAGAGTGCATCAGAAAATGACAAAATGTCATCCTGGAGTCAAGGCATACGAGATTTTGCAAATGCAAAAGGCAAAGTAGTAGTTTGGAAGTGTCTGTATTTGAATGAATGGGTTGGACAAGGTTAGAAATGCAATCCCGGAATCAGAAAGATGCTGAAGGTGCCAAAAGAACTTCTCCACTCTGCTCCCCGCCCAGGGGCCTGTCTCCATCCACCTCACTGTGTGTCTCTTGCTTTCATAAGTCTCGATACATGTGTTTGTTGAAAATTCCTCTCTCCTCTAACCCATGCACATACACCCTCACTTTCACAAACTTATTTATCAAATTATATAAACTGTAATAAAAACAGGGAGCTCTGGTGGCGTAGTGCCTAAGGCATTTGACTGCTAACCAGAAGGCTGGCAGTTCAAACCCACCAGCCACTCCTCGGAAGGAAGATGGGGCAATCTACTTCTATAGAGATACGACCTTGGAAACCCAAGGAGAGGTCTCTATGAGTCAAATTGACTCAATGGCAGTGAGTTTTTTTGTGTTTTTGTTTGTTTTATATATAATAAAAACCAAACCCATTGCCGTCGAGTTGTCCCAACTCCTGGCACCCCCACGTGTGCAGAAGAGAACTGCTCCCAGGGTTTTCAAGGCCGTGACCTTTCTGAAGCTGATCACCAGGGCTTTCGTCCAAGGAGTCTCAGGGTGTGTTCAAATAGCCAATCTTTCCATAAGTCGTCAGGTGCATAACTGCGTAAACTGTAATACTCCCATAAACAGTAATACTCAGAACGTCAAAACTGCTGAGAAGCCTTCCCCAATTCCCCCAGCTCATCTCTTCTCCTAGATGCAGGCATTTTGTTCTGATCTTTAACGTGGTACCTGCCGTTGAACTTTGAGTAGTTCATATATGTGCTGTGCAAACCTTCTCCTTTGTGGCCACCTCATGTGCCACCACAACTCATCTGTCACTGGAGGCCTGAGTGTGGCTACAATGCTGAACAGGCTTAGAGCTTCCAGACTGAGATGGACAAGGAAGAAAAGGCTGGCAATCCACTTTGGAAAGCAGCCAGTGAAAACCCCATGGCCCACAGCAGTCTGATCCCTGGGCAATCGCGGGGGCAGTGCAGGACTGCATGGCACTTTGTTCCGTCGTGCGTGTGGTCACTGTGAGTCCATGCCTCAGTGGCAGCTGACGATCAGATCAGCAGCAGTCTTCTCTACTGACCTGTGCTCCTTCAAGGATGGGAGCCCATCTTATTCCTGGTTGGGTATTGAGTTTCATAGCAGATCCTCAGTATGTAGTTTATTGGCTGACAGGCTGGCCAAGTTAGAAGACAGATGGGTGGACAGCATTGAAAGTGTCAGTCACCTTGCACAGTTCCAAAATAATTCATCTCACTTAATTGGGCACTTTTTCTGAAGAAATGCACCTCCAAATTTATAAATTAAAGTCAGAAAAATAAGGTTTACTCTATTGACTTTATTCCATAAACTCAGGGCTAGCAGTAGCACTTTTTTGCATAAACCTTCTCTTTTACATTTGTAAGAAATCCTTGGAAAGAATAATGTGCACTCACAAATAAAAGTGTTATTTAACTGGCATTAGGTGTTTTTTCAGAAAGCTTTTTTAAAAAATGGTGGCAAATGAAACTTCCAGTTGTTTCTGGGGAATTGCATAGGAAATGACCAAGCTAAACCCACTGCTATTGATTCCAACTCATAGCAGCCCTATAGGACAGAGTAAAATGGCCCCATAGGGTTTCCAAGGCGGGACTCTTCATGGAAGCAGACTGCCTCACTTTTCTCCTGTGGAGCAGCTGGTGGGTTCAAACCACCAACCTCCCACTTAGCAGCCAAATGCTTAAAGCTTAGAGGTATTTATTAACAGACCAGGAGTTCCAGGCCAGAAAGAGCCCCTCATGTCTCAGAGGAAAGTGGGCACCACCAGCCTAGGGATACTGTAAACAAGTAGATTCCGTGGCTGCCCAGGACAGGACAGACTACTCCAGACTAAACAGACCTTTCAGCACACCTGTGCTTTGGCACGTGCGGTCATATGCCAACAACTTCTTACTGTTTTCTTATATAATACCAACAGGTGACAGAGGACAATATTCCTGGCTTTGGTGTTGGGTATCACTGGCAGGCAACGAATCCTCATTAATTTATTAAGAACATCTGAATTTGAATGCTGCAATACATTACAGTGTTTGACTTAGTAGCTTTTGTTGTAGCAAGAAGAGGCTCCCAGATTTAAAAAAAGAATCCATTAAACAAGACTGACTTGAGCAGTTAGCATCATGTATCGGGTTTCTTTCCTTATTTCCCACTTGGCCTGGTCCACATCCCACATGCCCCACCCCGCATTTTACATTCCTGGGTAATTCAAATTCTGCCATAGGCTTGACAGCTATTGAGTTAGTGAACCAGCCAAGCAGTGAGGAGGTCACCTTTCCTAGTTATCTTTCTTCTTTAATCTTGTTACCACATATATATCCAGTTAAAACAGGATGGGAAATGTTTGCTAATCAAATATATGCTATGTGTATACACAGGTAAGTGTGTCTACAAAATACCACTATGTTCTCATGGAGAATCATTGCTATGATCTTAAAAGGTTATCATTTTGTCACTGATTTATCTTTTCAGAGGCATTTTGATTTCATTCTTGTCTGGATTTTAATTTGCCTCTGAAACTCTGTATTTCTTTATACACTTTCTCTATGTTCTTCCAGTCCTACCTTTGTCCCTCAAATCTCACTATCAAATACCTTGTACACAGTTGTCCTCTCCAGCCGAGCACAACACCCTAACACTGCCCCTTCCTGACATATACCAGCATTTTGATTCACCAGGCCTAGGGAGGACTGTGACATGGGCTGAACACTGCTTCGGAGCAGAAAATATTAACCAGGTCCATGTTTCTTTCCAATTTCCAGATAGAAGAGCGAGCAGAATTTTTGAATAAGTCTGTGCAGAAAAGGTAAATGGGGTTGCATGTTTGAGAATCGTCAACTGTTATTGGTAAGGAAAAAGTCTCTCATATTCCTATGTATGTGTTTAGCAGTGGTGTCAAATCAGCTCATCAAGCTGCAGTCGTCTCCAAGATTGACAGCCGACTGGAGCAATATACCAGTGCCATTGAGGTGAGTGCCATCCTCTGAGTTATGGTCCATTGAGGAGAAGTGGACTCTGGTGACACAGAAGTCATAGAAACCACTGGGGCAGTAATCACGTCCATTACTGCATAAGAATTAGAAAACCAACGATGCTTCCTTACTCTTAGAAGTAGTCATAGAGTTGGGCAGTAACAAGATAACTTACAGACAAGCTTTAACGAAATTATAGCTTACACCTTCCAGGAGTTCTCGTAGCATAGTGCCTAAGGCACTTGACTGCTAACCAGAAGGCTGGCAGTTCAAACCCACCAGCCAGTCAGAGAAAGGAAGGTTGGGCAATCTACTTCCGTAGTGATAATGACTCGGAGACCCAAGGAGGGGTCTCTATGAGTCAGGTCCAACTCCACAGCACATAACAACAACATTGCGTATAGGCTTACACCAGTATGTAAGTGCTAGGAAGGAGAAGTGAAGCACTAGGAAGTATGTCGAGAGCACACAATAGGGGAGGAATAGTTTGGGAGAGCAAAGAAGGTTACTCTGAGGAAGTGACTTTTAAACCCAGCTCTGACAGAGGCTTAGAAGTGTCAATCAAGTGAAAAAGAGGAGGGAAAAGCCTTCCATGCAGCGGTAACAGCACACGCAAAGGCCCTGAGGCAGGTGAGGGCTGAAAGAGTGAGAGACTACTACATGCAGAATGAGCTTAAATGAAGGGGTTTTGTTTTGTTTTGTTTTTTAACAAAGGAGTTTATTGGTATTTAACTCTATCATTGGTATGCTCATAAGTATATTTTCAATATCCTTAATTCCTTATCAAATGCATTTCCATATGTGAGAGTCGACTCTAACTCACAGTGACCTATAGGATGGAGTAGAACTGCCCTGTAGGATTTCCTAGGCTATAACCTTTGTGGAGGCAGACTACCACATCTTTCTCCCATGGAGTGCTGCCAGTGGGTTAAAACTGCTGACCTCTTGTTTAACAGCCTAGCACTTAACCACTGTACCACCTGGGCTCCCTATGTGGTTTAAATAGGTCTCAATATCTTAGCTAATCCCCTTTCCTTTATAAAAAATTTTATGGTCAAATAAAAGTAGTAGTGGTGGACAGTCAGCAAAAAAGGGGAAGACCCTTAATGAAATGGACTGACCCAGTGGCTGTGACAACGAGCCGAAGCATAACAAGGATTGTGAGGACGGAAGGACCGAGCAGTGTTGCCGTCTGTTGTACACGGGGTTGCTATGAGTTGGCGCTGACTCGACAGCACCTAACAACAACAACAACAACAACCACACACTAATATAAAGGTGATAGCCAGTCTGAGTCTAATGATCATTGATCTCAAATTGTTTCATATTTGAAGGATAATAATTTTAGGCTTCTGGCTGCCTCAACTTTTTTCCACCTCAGTTGACCTGAGAGTTTTATTCTATTTGGAAAAAATGGAAGTTTCCAAGCACAGAGCACCTGGCGGATAGGGTGGCCCTGGTCAAGGTGTGATCCTGATGTTGGGTTTCTGTTTTGTTTTGTTTTTCTCACCCTAGTGCAGCCTTTAGTTGACGGTTTTAACCTTTTTCTCTATCAGACTACCTGCCATGAAATAATGGATTTGCTGTTCTCCTCTCCTTTGTGTCCTAGGGTGGAGATAGCTGTAAAATAGTCCATAAACAAGTAGGAAAAGGGAATAAGAAAGAGAGACGTCCTGAAGATGTATCATGTGAATAACCAAGTCCTGATGCTCAAGGGTTGGTTTGTTATTCACCAGATTAGATAGATGTTAACTCAAATAGAGGACAGACTGAAGATGGTTACTTGCTTTGGTTGTGCTATGATCTTTCTCCCACTCCATGGGAGAAAGATCATAGCACAGGGCTAATGAAGCCAAGACCATGGCTTCAGACTTCCCAGAGTTGTGTGAGGACATTTTAATGCTGTGGCCTCTTCTGGTGTCACTCACCCTGGCTGGCTGGCCATCCTGATGACAAATGGCACTGGCCAGAAAGCAGGACGAGAAACTGTGCACGACTTTGTGTGTGCTCGTCACTCCTGCTGGAATGTATCGCAAACGCACGCATTTCCTCTTTACATCCATTCTTTCCTCCTTCAAAGTCATTCTGCATGGAGTGGCCTCTTAGTCTTTCAGCTCTTGCCTGCCTCAGGGCCTTTGCATGTGCTGTTACCTCTGCATGGAAGCCTTTTTTCTCCTTTTCACTTGATGCTTCTAAACCTTTTGTCCAATTGGGTTTAAAAGTCACTTCTTCAGTAACCTTCTTTGCTCTCCCAAACCATTACTCCCCTATTGAGTGCTCTCTTGACATGCTTCATAGCTCTACATTTCTCTTCTATAGCACTTACACAATGGTAAATAAATATTTGTGTGACCAGTCACTATCTTCCTGGGCTTTATTCACAAGATTAGATTTCTCTCCTATCAAAATACAAGCTCACTACAATTTATAGAGAAAGACTTTCTTGACCGCCATTGTATCCCCAAAGCCTAGCCAAAAGCACCCAGTAAGCAATTAAGAAATACCCATTCTCCCAGCTGTAGGGCTTGGACAGAGTGGGAGAGAAAGGAAGAACAAAATTCAAATTCATAAATAAGACCTAACTTACCTGGCTGATAGAGCCTGGTGGAACCCTTGAGTCTGTGGCCATTAGACACTCTTCAGACTTGGAACTGACCCTCTCCTCAAGGTCCCATGATAGCCAAACAACAGACAGGGCTATCAAGTGAACAATAACACCCATGAGGGATGTGCTCCTCAGAACAATCAACTATACAAGACCAAAAGGGCACCATTTGCCTAAAAGTAAAGTTCAGAAGGCGGATAGGGGCAGGAAAGATGGGCGAATGGAAACAGAGAACCTGGGGAGGAAGGGGAAGAGTGCTAGCACATTGAGGACACTGCACCCAATGGCACAAAACAAGATGTGTGTATACTGTTGATGGGGAACTAATTTGCTCCACAAACTTCGACTAAATCACAATAAAGTGTTATAAACATATACAAAAAAACCCAAATCCACGCCATCTAGTCAATTCTGACTTATAGTTACTCCCATTGGGTTTCCAAGGCAATAAATCTTTACGGAAGTAGATTGCCCATCTTCCTTCCTCAGAATGGCTGGTGGGTTTGAACCTCCAACCTTCTGGGTAGCAGTCAAATGCCTTAGGCGCTGCGCCACGAGAGCACCATCTAGGTATATATGTATATACACATATACACACACCCCTATGTGCACACACACACACATATACATATATATACATGTATCTGTGTGTGTACATGTACATATGTGTCTTGAGGAGATGAACTAGACAGATGCCAGTTGCCATGATGTCCATTCTGACTCCTGGAGACCCGTGTGGGTCAGAGTAGGACTGGGCTCCCCAGGTTTCAGTGGCTGGTTTTCCAGAAGCAGACACCAGGCCTGTCTTCTGAAGCACCTCTGAGTGGACTCGGACCCCCAACCTGTTCGTGAGCAGCTGAGCAGGTGAACCATTGGCACCACCAGGGGCTCCTTACCAACAGATAGTGGCCCAATCAAAAGCATCTTCCTGTTTGAAAGATCCTCTGATCTAGATCACATAGCTCATTTGGAGGCATCTCTGTCACTTTATGGAAGTCGATCGCCCCATCTTGCTTCTGTGGAGCAGCTGGTGGGTTTGAACCGCCAGCCTTCTAGTTAGTAGATGTCTTAGGCACCACTCCACCAGAACTCCTTGTTATGTCACTATGAGTTGGGATTGATGGGGCAGATGGATGATGTCACCCAAATGCCCTTTTACGGATGCAAATTATGCATGAAGGTGTTCCCATGACACACTTTGTAAGTGATAATGTTAAGGGAGACACGTTGACTGTAAATTTACAAGAAGAAACTCATCAGTGCCCGTTCTAAAATTAAATCACAAATTTCAGGGAACAAAATCTGCAAAGCCTACGAAGCCAGCCGCCTCGGATCTCCCTGTCCCTGCTGAGGGCGTCCGTAATATCAAGAGCATGTGGGAGAAGGGCGATGTGTTCTCATCACCCACTGCGTCAGGCACGCCAAATAAGGTCAGCACGTGGCTTTTCCCTTTTAACTGTGGGGGCTGACTTATTTTTCCATTTTGTTTTAGAAATCGAACTAGTTGATAATCATCTTTAAATTGCCCTCAAGTTGACACCTCCTCAAGGTGGCCCGACGTGTGTCAGAGGAAAACTGTGCTCCATAGGGTTTTCAGTAACGGGTTTCTCAGAAGGAGGTTGTCAGGCCTGTCCTCTCAGGTGCCTGAGGACAGACTTGAACCTGCAGCCTTTCAGTTAGCAGCCGATTGTGTTGACCTTTTGCATCACCCAGGGGACTAGGTAATAGTAGAAAGAGGGGGAAAAGGTGCAGTTCTTCCTTTGCAATGACTGCATAGGCAACCTCAGGAGAGAATGAGTTTTTGAGGCTAGATTCTGCCCTATGTTTTGCCCTGGGTCTTTCAATAAAGCACCTGAACTTAATGATCAACCTTTGGGGTTGGGGCAGGTGGGATGCAGGGGAAAGTAAACCAGCTAACACAGTCATCAAATATCAAGTTTAAGGTCAAGCCGATGGTAGTGGGAAATGATGATGGCTGTATGAAGTCATACTTCGTGGCATTTTGGAGCTGCCTGGAAGTGTCTTTTCAGGTTGAATTGCTTTTTTTCTTTACTGTTTCGGTGCATGGGCTCTCTGCAGGAAACGGCCGGCTTGAAGGTGGGGGTTTCCAGTCGCATCAATGAGTGGCTAACCAAAACCCCAGATGGGAACAAGTCGCCTGCTCCGAAACCTTCCGTAAGTAGCTTGGGGTTTTTCTGAATTTCTTTGATTTCTCAGCTTCCGGCAGCAGAAGAAAACAGCTCATTTGCCCGGGAATGACGACTGTGCTCCTGTTTGTTCTTTGTTATCACTGCTCAGTGACAAACAAGGAGGTGTTCAGGTTTAGAAGGAACAGTCCACAGCTGCTGTTTTCTTTACCTAGAGATTGAAATGCAGTGGAAGCCAGTAATCACCTGTCCACGCTAACAGTGACACTCAGCCAGAATTATATGTGCACTCTTTACTCTGATCTAGCTGGTTAGCTCCTGCTCTGTAAGTTGTGGGTAGGAATTTGAACATGAAAAAGGCCAAGTTATTTTAGCCACTTCTCTGCCAAGGGCACCCATAAACTTACCCCAAAAGAACATCTATGTTGGCTATTTTGAACCTGTATTTTCTAATTTGCCTTATTTCTAAAACTTGGAACAAAAAAATATGGTTATCAAGTAATTGTTGAAATAATTGCTGTAATTTTGTTGTCAACACCTCCAAAGGAGACCCATGTTAAAAATAAAATAAAAAAGGAAGAAAGAATAGTAAAACTGGAAAGTAGAAAAACTGATTGTGGCTATCATTTGCTCATCTGAAATGTTCTTATTTATTAAGTATGGCTATCTTAATATAAGGGAGCTCTGGTAGCATAGTGGCTAAGACACTTGCCTGCTAACCAGACGGCTGGCGGTTCAAACCCACCAGCCACTCCTTGGAAGGAAGGTTGGGCAATCCTACTTCCGTAGTGATACTGCTTCAGAAACCCAAGGAGGGGTCGCTATGAGTCGGGTTTGACTCAACGGCACATAACAACAACAACAACAACATCTTAATATAAATATAGGCTTTTACACTCTTTATTAAATAGATACGATGACTTGCTTCTGTTTACCATTTCCATCAAGCCTCATACGTGCCCTGCTGTACAGTGGTGAGTGTGCTCTGTCAAGCTACCTTTGACGGCTTTGCAGATGCCCAAAGGAACATATTCACTCCATCCAGAGGGTCAATTAAAGTCTTTCAGCTCCTAGGCCTCTGTGCCATTGAGGATCTGATTATGTTCACTGGCTCCCAGTGTAATCTCCAAAGTCACTAACTTCTATTTTATTAAAATAAGCTTATTTAATTATCAGTTTATTTTTATTAAAATGAAAATATTTGCAAATCATTCCAGGCTGCAACTCCTCATAGCCATTTAATTAATATTAACTTAATTAGTATTAATAGTCAGCCTGAAATTCTTTGCACAAGGGCTCTTAGGAGCTAACAACTCACATAAGCCCCACTTAAAATTAGAAAATCATTATATATTGAAAAAAAATCTACCTTCCTCTCCCAGTTGATAAGAGGAAACCGAGTTGCTGACGAGTGGACTCCGTCCTACTCATGGCAGTCCCACGGGTGTCAGAGAACAGCTGTCCTCCAGGTAGAGTTCAATGCTGATTTTTGGAAGTAGACCACCAGGCCTTTCCCCCAGCACCTCTGGCTGGACTAGAACTTTCAACCTTTGCTTAGCGACTCAGCACATTAACCGTTGGCACCACCCAGGGACTCCTGATTTTGTACCAGAGCCCTTGTTTCCTATCTCTTGGACTATGTGAGTGGAGGAGACAGCCTGGGCTGTGGTGGCAGCTGTGTGACGTAAGGGCATAAGGCAAAATCAGAGGGCAGCTCCTTTGTCTAAATGGTCCTCACCCAGTGAAACTCAAGAAGGAAAAGAAAAATGCACAAGTTAAAGTGTTGAGTGCTAAAACTCACTGAAGAGAAAAGCCCACCTCTACCAGAAGGGATGTGATACGTTTTAAATATGCTAAGAATTCAATGTGCTCAAAATAGTTTGCGAAATCAGTATGATTTGTGAGGGCTGACCATGACCCTGTATAAAAGTACCTGCTTGCTTACTGGAAACATCTCTTGCTGTTTGTGGGTGGGAATCACAGGGTTTCAGGGTAACTTTGTAACTATTCCAGCTGGCTTGTCTGATCTTTGTATCTGTACTACCTGTTTTGTAGCAATTACAAAGCTAATTTGTCTTTCTTTTTGTTTAAAACAAAAACCAGCAACAATGTCTTTGTCAGCTGGCTTCTCTTCTTCACTCTTTGGTCTCTGGTTGATTGGAAACACTGCTTCTCCTGCCTTCATCTCTCCTCTTCTTCCGGAGTGGGTCTTTCTCTAAAATGTAGTCTGGTCAGGTAATTTCATTTCTATTTCCCCTTTCGTTTGAAATGCCAACTTACCACTTGGATGTTAATATTGTCTTTAAAATTGACTCTTTAAACCATTTCAGTGACTTCCAAAGATTCATAGGCAGGATCGAGGTGAAGTACAATCCAATTTCGTAGGTAGAAGAACATTCAGGCATAGACAAATATTTGTCTTATAGGAATCAAATAAATAAAGTGATAATTGCCTCTTTGCAAGAGCCTGCATCAACGTGTTCTTAATTATAGTGTCCAAGATTTGAAAAACTGTCTGCCAGACAATTGGGCCGCTTCCAGCTCTCTTGGCCAATGTGGTGGAATTCTTCAGCAGCAAGCTGATTTGTTGCTTAACAGTTCCAAGTTAAATAGGCATAGTTCTCCAATAGAGTCAGGACTTCATGCCACAACGAAAATCCAGAACCTCAGGAAGATCATGGCAACTCTGAAACGCTTCACACGGTACCACTTAATCAGTGCGTCTTCAGCGTTTACATCTAATACTATCCATTCACAAATACACCCATCTAAAGACTGGTATCCGTGTATCAATGGAATTGCTATTGGTTTTGCCTTCCTAAGAAAAGGGTTTGCCAAAATAAGCATTACTATTTCAGTAAAACACATTTATTTTCTACCAACTGCTCTTTGCCAAGTGCTAATACAGGCAAATGCTAGAAGAAAAATAAATGGAAACATAAATGGGGATCCTTATCCAAGTCAAATTAATTACAAAGTTGTAAATAAAGACTTAGAGCTGTATAACTGCGAGCAATCATATTTCAATGTTTTCTTCCCAAGATTTCCACACGTTCTCCCATATGTCGTCAACTGTCAGTTGCTCTTACATGCACAATTTGTGATGAATGTTTACTTTGGGGGGCTTAATCCTACTGATACACTTCTGAATTACCCACATGCCTCTCAGGAGGCATAAAACCATTTTAGCCTGGAGAGTGTACAAGCAGAAAAGTGTCTTAGTTTGGGTGGCCCAGAGGCAGATGTGGAGACAGAGACTTAGGGGCAATAGTTTACTTGAACAGGGATAGCATTACCCAATAAACAAGGTAAGCACAGGGTTAGTGAGTAAGCACAAGTAAGCCTATGCTTATCTTGTTTACTGGGTACTCCATCCCTGTTGGGGACTGTGAATTTGGAAAGAGGCTTTGATTCTGTAGGAAGGGGCTGTGAGGTTGGGAGAGAGAGAGAAGCCAGCCAGACCTAAAAGCAGAGTCTTTGATGTGGTGAAAAAATGTGAAATTCTTCACTACAGATTAGTAAGTAAGCACAAGTAAGCTTGTGACTACCTTGCTTATTGGGTAGTCCAACGCTGGATAAAGAAAGAAGTGGGAGGAAAGAGAAGGCAGTTAACAAAGGAGGAGCCACCAAGCTATGGCCATGCAGGGGATTAGAACTGAGCCCCATCGGAGAAGCCCTGGGAGCTGCCCATGCCTCAGAGCTGTCCCACTTGAGTGAGCTGAGAAACTTAGCTCTAAGTGTGAGTGTGTGCACAAGTTCATCCACCTGAACTCTCTGAACTCCCAGCATGCCTCACAGGCAGAGTGGGCATCTATAGCCAGAGGAAGCCCTCAGGCAAAGATGCGCGCTATGGGCTGTAAGCCAGACTGGTGTGTGCTGAAGTGTGTGGGGTTGGGGCGTTCACAGGCAGGGCACCAGAAGAAAAAAAGTCTGCTACAGACGAAGTGCTGATCAGTCCATAAGTGCTCTACTTCCAATACTGTGAAAAGTTGAAAATTGGCTATGTCACTTTCAATATGCTTATCCTCCAGTTTTACTGCTCGATAAACAGTGAGTTCTTAGTGAAGGACAAGGACCCAAATGCAGTCGTTCCTAGCCCATTCTCATATTGTAAGGCAGGTCACTATCTAGATATGTACAGACAGTGACCTGCCATGTACATATAATATTAACTTAAAAACAATTAATGGTTCTTTCAAGTCTATTCATCCTCGTGTGACTGAGAGGAGAGGTTATTAAGCAATAAATTAACTCACACAAACAAGCAGATTTGGTGGTTTCTGGAGACCTGGCCAGAAAGTACAAATGTTTAGCTGTCTCTCTCTCTGATTCTCCTTCCCTAGGACTTGAGGCCAGGAGATGTATCTGGCAAGAGGAACCTCTGGGAAAAGCAGTCTGTGGATAAGGTCACCTCTCCTACTAAGGTAAGCTGGGAGGTGTAGCGTTTCATAAGTTCATCGTCCTGATGTGTCCCGCAGCTTCATTTCCTGGGATCAAGTGAAAAATACCACTGACCTGCAGATCCTGCCTGTGGAACCGTCAGTTTCTAGAAGACTTGTAGATAGTACAGCAAAGGCAAAGTTCAGGGACCCTTCGGCATTGTGGATCTCTTAGCCAAACAGCACAGATAACCTCAAGCCCACAGAATGGTTCTCCGTGAGAACCATCATGTTTCACACCGTCATGTTTCCATATCATGGAGTGTAGGCAGAAGAAAGCCCTATGGGACAACCATGTCTGCATGAGACTGGTGTCCACATGCATCAGAGGTGTCTATTTGGGATGGCCATGTCTACATAGAACAATTGTGTGTCTTCATGGGTCAGAGGTACCACATCTACATGGGAGAATTATGTCTATATGGCATGCCCATATCTACACAGGACAGCTTTGTTTACATGTCCTTACAAAGTCTAGGCTGGGAGCTACAGTCATTGGATGATCACCTAGGGTAAGACTTTGTCTCCATGAATAATTCCAAAGCTGCTTCCTCAACCTTCTAGGGGATTATATTGCCAACAGACCAGGACTTAAAGATGCTATGACAAAAATTTTAATTAATATTCAAAAATAATTCACAACTTGCTACCCTAGGAAAACTAATGACTAAGAATGCTTGGATTTGCCTTTTACTCTTGTCTTCTTCTAAAAGGGTCTGCATAACTTTCAGAAATGGGGCTCTGGGCATACCTAAATGAGGCTGAGACTTCAAACACAACCCATTTCTGTACAAGGACCTAATTCACCTCCTAACTGTAGCCCTTCCCCAGTTCAAGTTGTAGGCCATCTTCTCCTATAATGGAAGGAACACGAAATAGAGGACTCAGAGATCAACAAGGAGCTCTGGTAGCATAGTGGCTAAGGCACTTGACTGCTAACCAGAAGGCTGGCGGTTCAAACCCACCAGCCACTCCTCGGAAGGAAGGTTGGGCATTCCTACTTCCGTAGTGATACTGCCTCAGAAACCCAAGGAGGGGTCGCTATGAGTCGGGGCCGACTCGATGGCAAACAACAACAGAGATCAACAGGAAGTAAGACTAGAACTGCCTGCTTGTGGGTGATCTGAAGTCTAGGGAGAAAAGCACTGATTAACAAACTCAAGACTGAAGAACATCTCCAGAGCAACAGGAGAACTACAAGAACCCACCCAAAGGAGCGGCTCGCTATCTCTTTCCTGCTTTGTGTGTTCTCTTAAGTCTGGTGCTGCTGCCTCAGTGTTAGCGACTCCATCTTCTCTAGTAGTTCTTTATTGCTCTTACATTCCAATGAGATCCACTAGTCTAGCCTCTCTATGTAAAGTGAGTTAAAGAGATTCCAAGATGCCCCGGTGGTGCAGTAGTTAAGGACTCAGCTACTAAACTAAACATTGGTGTTTCAAACCCTCCTAGTGGTTCCTCAATAGCAAGACCTGGCAATCTGCTCCCATAAAGGTTGTTGTTGTTGGGTGCCGTCAAGTCAGTTCCAACACATAGTGACCCTACATAAAACAGATTGAAACACTGCCCGGTCCTGCCCCATCATCACAAGCATGGCCATGTGTGAGCCCATCACCACAAGCGCTGTGTCAGTCCATCTCATTGAGGGCCTTCCCTTTTTCACTGACACTCTGCTTTACCTGGCATGATGTCCTTCTGTAGACATTGGTCCCTTCTGGTAACATGACCAAGTACGAGAGACAATGTCTGGCCATCCTCACTTCTAAGGAGCATTCTGGATGTACTTCCTCCAAGACAGATTTGTTTGTTCTTCTATCAGTCCATGGTACATTCAGTATTCTTTGCCAGCACTACAAATGCACCAATGTGAATGCCAACATTATAGCCTAGGAAAGCCCATGGGGCAGTTCCACTCATCACATGTGGTTATTGAGTTGAAAATCAACTTGATGACACTTAACAACAACAAATGGATTCTATTTTCTGCACCATTGCTAAATACATGGGGGAAAAAACACAACCCACCACCAGCAAGTCCATTCTGACTCACAGTGACCCTTTAGGACAGAGTAGAACTGCCCCATAGAGTTCCCAAGGTTGTAAATCGTTATGGAAGCAGACGCCTCATCACCCTGCCATGGAGCAAATGATGGGTTCGAACCGTGGACCATTTGGTTAGTGGCCGAATGCTTTAACCACTAAGCTACCAGAACTCCTAAATATATGAAGAGTACCTGGTAATAGTGAATGCCACTGCAAACCACTAACCATGAGTACCCACTGTGTTCCACATTTCTCACCTCCATCTCATTTGATCCTGTGCCCACCATGGAAGGTAGGTATTACTATTACTTCCTTTTTGCAGCTGAACAAAATGAGGCATAGAAGATGAAATCATTTTCCCAGCGTCACACAATATATAAGTGGTAAAGCCTGGATTCATACTCAGGCCATCAGATCTAAATTTGCACCCTCTTTTTATTATTTATTTTTCATTATGACAAAATTTATATAAATACAACTTGTCATTTTAACTATATTTAACAGCATTGTTGTTAGGTGCCCATAAGTCAGTTCCAACTCACAGTGACCCTGCGCACAACAGAACAGAACAGAGCCCAGTCCTGTGCCACCCTAACAATCAATACTGTGTTTGAGCCCATCGTTGCAGCCACTGAGTCAGTCCCTCTTGTTGAGAGTCTTCCTCTTTTTTGTTGATCCACTATTTTCCCAACCATGATGTCTTTCTGTAGGAACTGGTCCCTCCTGATAACATATCCAAACCACATAAGACAAAGTCCTACCATCTTCACTTTTAAGGCGCATTCCGGCTGTCCTTCTACCCGGATGGATGTGTTTGTTCTTCTGGCAGTCCACGGTATATTCAGTGTTCTTTGCCAGCACCACCATCCACAGCATCAGTTCTCCGGCAGCCTTCCTTATTCACTGTCCAGCTTCTGCGTGCCCTGGAGGCATTTGAAAACACTAGGGCTTGGGTCAGGCACACCTTAGTTCTCAAAGTGAAATCTTTGCTTTTGGATTCTTTAAAGAGGTCTTTTGTGGAAGGTTTGATTTCTTGACTTCTGCTTCCATGGATGTTGCTGTGGATCCAAGTAAAATGAAATCCCTGACAACTTTAAGCTTTTCTATGTCTATCATGATGTCACTCATTAGTCCAGTTGTGAGAACTTTTGTTTTCTTTAGATTGAGGTGGAAACCATACTGGAGGCTGTAGTTTGGATGTTCATTGGTAAGTGCTTCAAGTCCTCTTCATTTTCAACAAGCAAACTTGTATCATCTGCATATCACAGGTTGTTAATGAGTCTTCCTCCAATCCCGATGCCACATTCTTCTTCACCTAGTCCAGCTTCTTGGATTATTTGCTCAGCATACATATTGCATACATATGGTGAAAGAATACAACCCTGACGTGCATACCTTTCCTCCTGAGGGGTGTGTGTGTGAGAGAGAGAGAGAGAGAGATTCGGGTGAAAATTTACAGAGCAAATTGGCTTTCCATTCAGCAATCCATGTGCATTCCCTTTTGTGATACTTACTGCAGTTCCCCACACAGAAACAGCATTCTTCCCACTTCCTCCCTGTGCCCACCCATTCCCTTCACTCCTGCAGCCCATCCTCTTCACTTTCCTGGCTTTATCCCTGAGCAAATGCTGTCTTCTTGATCTCATATGGTTGATTGTTGTAATGAGTGCATATCCTCCTGATACTACTGGTCACCTTACAGGTCTGTCTGTCATTGGGCTGCCAGTTGAATCACAGCAGTTAAGTTTAGTTCCTAGCTGAAGGGTCTCTAAGGTCCATAGTCTCTGGATTCCCACTGGTCTTCATCAGACCAGTAAGCCTGGTCTTTTTTTTATGAATTTGGGTTTGTTCCACATTTTCCTTCACTCTTTCAGGACCTCTGATTGTAATCCCTTCCAGAGCAGTCAGCTGTGGTGGCCAGGCACCATTTGTTCTTTTCTGTGAGTAGTGGAGGCTGGGGTTCTGCAAAAACGGCAAGGAGGCCACATGTTCTGACCTCCTCTAATCCCACAAGAGGAAGACAGAATTACTATCAATAGCCCAAGGCCTATTCCTGAGAGGCCAGACATGCTGCCTCCCTCCAGTCTTTTCTCCAACCCTTCCTCCCAAAGCACCCACCACCTCTCTCCTGAGTTCAATAATTCGCTGCAGTGGCCACACAGAACTCACAGATTACGGGGTTTATTAGGGAAGCATCAGGCTACAACTCAAGTTCAGAAAGAATGCTCAGTCTCTCTCCCAGCCCACCATCCCTCAGCCAACAGTCTCTCACAGTCTCTTTCCCAGCAGTGCTGGTCCCTTGGTGTCTCACTCAGCAACGCGTGTCTCTTGCGTCTCTTTCCCAGCAACGCGTGTCTCAGAAGCCCGTGTCTCTTTCAGCAGCACGTCTTCCTCCACCAGCAGTCAGAGTTCTGCTTCCAGGAGGCCTCCTTTTGAGCCCCGGCAGGGTGGTCAAACTAGCCAATCATAGCATCAGAACTCTAAGCATCTGAGAGTGAGTGGGAACCTCCCAGAACATTGTTTTGTGCCACTCCCAACAGAAATAACCCAGGTGGATAGCTTCAGCAATCAGGAGCTCCTCAGTTGCTCATAGAAAATCCCACCTTGGAGTTTACAAAGACTTATGGGTAGAAAAGCCACACAAAAGTAATTTACTACATTGCAGGTTCTCATACTGCATTGGTGCTTATTGTTTCCTGCATCTTTTAATTTCTTCACTTTTCTTTCCTGGTTTTAAACTACGCAGTATCCCCTCATGCTGTTTGAACAGCTACTTCTTTGTCTTGGTACAGGTTCCACATGAGCACAATTAAGTGTTCTGTAATTCCCATTCTTGGCAATGTTAACCATAATTTGTTATGATACACACAGTTAAATGCCTTTTTATAATCAATAAACACAAGTAACATCTTTCTTGTATTCTCTCGTTTTAGCCATGATCCATCTGACATCAGCAATGATATCCCTCATTCCATGTCCTCTTCTGAATCCAGATTGAATTTCTAGCAGTTCCTTGTGGATGTACTGCTGCAAATGGTTTTGAATTATCTTCAGTAGAATTTTACTTGCATTGATATTAATAATATTGTTCAATAATTTCTATACTCTGTTGGATCACCTTTCTTTGGAATGGGCACAAATACGGATCTTTTCCAGTTGGTTGGCCAGGTAGTTGTCTTCCAGATTTCTTGGTATAGATGAGTGAACTGGTCCAGCACTGCATCTATTTGTTGAAACATCTCAATGGATATTCTGTCAGTTCCTGGAGTCTTGTTTCTCACCAGTTCCCTCAGTGCAGCTTACACCTCTTCCTTTACTACCATTGGTTCTTGATCATATGGTACCTCCTGAAGTGTTTTAATATCAACCAATTCTTTTTGGTACAGTGACTCTGTATTGGAACTCAAGGCTTGAATTTTTTCTTTAGTTCTTTCAGCTTGAGAAAAGTTCTTCCTTTTTGGTTTTCTAATACCACGTCTTTGAACAGTTCATTATAATACTTTGTCTTCTTTGAAATCTTCTGTTCACCTCTTCTACTTCATTGTTTCTTTTGTTCAGTTTAACTAGTCTGTGTTTAAGAGCAAGAGGCTCTTCCAACATCCAGTTTGGTCTTTTCTTTCTTTTCACTTTTTAATGACCTTTGGCTTTCTTCATGTATGATGTCCTTAATGTCATCCCATAACTCATCTGGGCTTTGGTCATTAGTGTTCAATGTGTCAAAGCTATTTTTGCAATGTCTCTAAATTCAGGTAGGATAAACTCAGTGTCATACTTTGGCTTTCATGGACTTGTTTCAATTTGCTTCAGCTTCAACTTGAACTTGCATATGAGCAACTGATCTGTTTTGCAGTCAGGCCCTGACCTTGTTCTGACTGATGACATTGAGCTTCTCCATCGCCTCTTTCCACAGATGGACTTGACTTGATTCCTGTGTATTCCACCTGGCGAGGTTCATGTGTACAGCTGCAGTTTATGTTCTTGGAAAGCGGTCTTTGGACCTGCAGATTTCTACCGTGCAATCTCAGGCATCTTTTCTGTCACCAAGGCTGAGTTTCATAACTACAAATCCTTCTTCTGTTTCCAGCTTTCACATTCCAATCACCAGTAATTATCAATACATCTTGATTGCATGTTTGGTCGCATGTTTTCACACTGCGAAGTTGTTTAAAAAAAAAAATATCTTCAATTTCTTTATCTTTGGCTTTAGTGGTTGTTGCATAAATTTGAATAGTAGTAGTATTAACTGGTCTTCCCTGTAGGCATATGGATATTATCCTATAACTGACAGTACTGTACTTCAGGATAGATCTTGAAATGTTCTTTTTGATGTTGAATGCAACACCATTCCTCTTTCTTATTCCCAGCATAGTAAGTCATATTATTGTCCAACTCAAAATGGCCAATTCCAGTCCATTTAAACTCACTAATGCCTAGGAGGAGCTCTGGTGGTGTAGTGCCTAAGACATTTGACTGCTAGCCAGAAAGCTGGTGGTTCAAACCCACCAGCCACTCCTTGGAAAGAAGAATGGGCAATCTACTTCTGTGGTGATACCACCTCGGAAACCCAACGAGGGGTCTCTATGAGTCAGATCTGACTCAAGAGCAGTGAGTTTGGTTCGGTAATGCCTAGGATATCTATCTTAAAATATATAATTCAGTGGAATTAATTATATTCACAGTGTTGCACAAACATCACCACCGTCTATTCCCAAAACTCTTTTTATCACCCTAAATGGAAACTTGGTACCCATTAAGCAGTAATCCTCATTCCCCAACCCTGGCAACCACTCATCTACTCAGACCTGCACTCTTAACCATTATGTATTCCCCCTTCTTGTGAGGATGCACAGTAAATGTAAAATTTTACATCTCCTAGTAGCAAACTTTTCTCCTGGTGGAAAGGAAGAGAGGGATTACAAAAAAAAAAAGTAATGGATCTTTTTGTTGTTGCTTAGCCATTGTGGCCCCTCGGGCATAGTTTTCTGACCTTGCAGCAGTGGCAGGCCATATGTGTCTATGTAGCCTCCTTTCTGAGCAGGGATATCAGCTGCCCGTAATCCAGACATCCCATGTACAAGGGGGCTCCTCCAGATAGCATTCCTCTGAGCTCAGGCTCTGGCAAGTAGATCAAAGACACGCTCTGCACTGTGAGACTCCAGAACACCACACACACATACATCACAGCAGGAGTGGGGCTCCCTGGGGTGGGATGACATGGTGGCACGAGGTGAGAGGGGAACTGAGTGAGCTGTCACAGCCACCACCCCTCCCCCTCAGTCGGTACCACTATGGTCTCTCTACAGTAATAATAATTGCTATTACAGTAGTAATAATAACAAACCACCCTGGTGGCACAGTAGTTAAGTGCTCAGCTGCTAATCAGAAGGTCAATGGTTCAAGCCCACCAGTGGATCCACAGGAGAAGGACATGGAGATCTGCTTCTGTGAAGATTACAACCAAGGGAAACCCTGTGGGGCAGTTCTACTGTGTCATGTAGGGAGGGTTGCTATGAGTCAACATTGACCTGACATTACATAACAACATCAATAGTAATAATCACGGCCAGAGCTGAGTTTATGGGGTGGCAGATTAGGTAGCACCTTTGTTCTAAAATATCAAAGTCACTACATGGCATGCAGTCATGGACATGCATCAAGTACCAGTTACCATGGAGTTGATTCTGACTCATGGTGACCTCCTGTGTGTCAAACTGTGCTCCATAGGATTTCCAAAGGCCAATTTTTGGGGAATCATATTTCCAGGTCTTTCTTCTGAGGCATCTCTGGGTAGATTCAAACCTCCAACCTTTTGGTGAGCAGCCAAGGCATTCCATCTGCACCACCTAGGGACTGCATGACACTTTAATATTTGTCAATACCTCAATAGATATATTTAGCAGCTGAGAAAAAAATGGCATAAGAATGGGGCCATGGGAAGATATGTCTCAGGGGTAGGCCTATGAAGAAAGGAAGGAAGGAAGAGAGATTACTAGGTAAAAATGGAAGAGAGCCAAAGATAAGTGTATCTTCATTCACCGTCATCCTTGAGTTGGCCCTGGCTGAGCTACTCAAGGACTTAGGTCTGTTCAGGAATGTACACTGTAGGTGCCTGGCCCTTACAGTAGGTCTGAAAACCCTCCTTGACACTGGCTGCCTTGAGCAGAGCTGAAGGGCAAGACAGGAAAGAGAACATAAAGGAGATAAAAGAAAGAGGTTGGCCAAACTGTCCACAGAAGAAAGGGTAGCATAAAAGAAGAGTAGCACACTTGGAATAGAAAACCAACAATAATCCTTGCCTTCATAAAAATTTATTCTGGCCATTTTCTTTTCCTTTTGTTCTGATACAAAACATCTGGGGGAAAGACCATGCCTTCTGATTCAAAACTCTCTTCTCTCAACAGGTGTGAGACCATTCAAGAAAGAACCCAAGATGGCGCTCACGATTTTGGACCAGCGTGGTTGAGGAGGGCTAATCTGCTCTGTTTGATATTTATGTTGATTTACTAAGTTGGCTTCATTCCTTTTGTCATATTTTTCATTATCCCAGTAAACCCATGAATATTATTACTATATTTAATAATCACAGTCTAGAGAAGTTCATGGTCAAAGTACTGCTTTTGCACAGGAACCTCTTTCTGAAGAAAACCATGCTGTGAAATCAAGACGTTTCTACTGATCATCCCAACGCTGGGTCCGAACAGTGACACCAACCACATTGGAAGTCGACAGACGAAGATTCACCCTGAAAATTGCTGGAGGAACGTGTGCAGTATCTACAGGAAAAAGAACCATAGTTTTTTTGTTTTTCAATACAGAAGTCGTGTTGTTTCTGCACTTTAGAAGAAAGCATGGAAGAAATTATCTTCATAGGAATTGTAACACCTTTTGAGAATAACTCATTTCAGACTTGAGATACTGCAATAATGATTGTCTGTTTGAAAAAAAAAGATGTACTGTTAAGTATTACTTTCTCATGCTGATTAATATCTAAATTGGATTATGATGTTAGCTGACAGTGGTACTGATTTTTTGTAGGTTGGTTGCTTTATGCATTTCTTTGGTAGTCATAGTAACCTGAACCACATTTTAGATTACCTAATTATGTATGTATGTGCATACACATATACAAACACACTATTGGTAGAATGCTTTCTTATGTGCTAGACTATTATATGCAGTAGTATGTCCTTATAACTAGCCAATATCACAGCTTTTAAAAAAAATGAAAAATCACAATATTATATTAATATTTCATCTTTGCCAAAAGAAAAATGGCAGACTAGGTATCGAGATGTTTTCAGTGGCCAATGACCTCTAAGAAAGATGTGTTAAAAAAAAAGAGATTAGCAGTGTTGAAACAAGTTGACATTTTCTATAAAATGTAGTATTTAGTTTATAATTCACGGCAATCTTGAAGGCCAGTGTGAATTTTATTAAATCTACCATCTGAATAAGTCAAAGTCTACTTGTTCTTAACAATAAAGTTCATGGTAGGCTGGCCTTAAATGGTATTAAGGTCTCTTCCTTTCTCTAAAATTTAAAGACAAGAATTTTTGCCAGAAGACTGGAATTCTATGCATGAATCTGAACAAAAACCAACTTGGGCTAATGTCTGGAAGCAGAGAGGAAACGTGAGCACAACCCAGCACTCAGAGTCATGTTGGCATTTCCATCTGTAGTACCCTCCAAAACATGTTTTAAATTAAACTTTTCTACCCACCGGCCACTCCTCGGAAGGAAGGTTGGGCAGTCTACTTCCGTAGTGATATCACCTCGGAAACCCAAGGAGGGGTCGCTATGAGTCGGTTCCAATTCAACAGCACATAACAACAACACCTTGTCTTTTGTCATCTGTTGATCACATGTTGAAATTTTAAAAATATATGTAACTTTGACTAGTTTTGCTTTTCCCCCCAATAGCCTTTGTTGACTAGACATTTGTACACAAGCCATACACATATCAGATCTTATTTTCACCTAGAAATGTTGATTCCTCACAGTGGATGATAAGAGTATCCCAGTGACTTGGCAAAACATTCTGATACAGACATACCCATCAAATGTGGTTATATAAACTCACACTTCAGTTGGCTTCACCCAAACTGTCCTGTCTCTATCCCTACCATGCTGAGGGAGAGCCCTCAAGTAATTATTTTCTAACACACACTATTCTGCTGGAAGAGTTAGCTGGGATAGGGCTGGCATGAGGAGTGGCCACTGTCTTCCAAAATCTGTTTTCCTCATAAATCAGTAAAGAGTAGTTGAATCCTCCAGCGTTTAGCACACCTGGGCCAAAAGACAGAAGCCACCAAGATTACACAGGTCACCCCCTACCCCAGACAGAGTAGACAGCAGTCTGTGGTGAGATAAACCGCAATTCATGGGCAGCACCTGATTCAGCCAGCATTGAGTCCCATCATGCTGGGTACAAAGTTTGAATGCGGGCCCGGGTGGGGTGACACATTTCTGTTATACTTTTGAATGAGGGTTCATCCTGGTCACAGTCATCTGTTTTTCTAGAAAATCTACAGTTGTGGAGAGAAGGTGTCAACCCTGACTTTTATTCCAATATTTGGATGGAGTATGCTTTAGAGTAGAATATTGTTCAGTTTGGTGTTAATCTTTTGGAAAATAAATTCCTGGCTTACTTGTTCCATCATGATTCTCTTTCTTTAAGAGGTAAAACTGCAAACTGACTAGCATGTTCTGTGAATCTGCCATTCGTTAAAGTTTTATGGACACAATATTTTTCACTGATACTGATCGCTGCAATACAAGTACCTTGTGAAAATGCATCCACAATAAATGGAATTCCTCCAGATGTCTTGGCCTCACTCATTTTTATGTAGTAAATTGGTGATAGGAGCTCCAGTGGTGTAGTGCCTAAGGCACTTGACTGCTAACCAGAAGGCTGGCGGTTCAAACCCACCAGCCACTCCTGGGAAGGAACACTGGGCAATCATCTGTAGTGATATTGCCTTGGAAACTCAAGGAGGGGTCGCTATGAGTCAGATCTGACTCGATGGCAGTGAGTTAGGTTTTTTTTAAGTTTGTGATGAAAGGTATGTCCTATTCCAATAAAGATGATGACATGGTAACACCTGCCTTTCAGATTGACTCTTGGTTTTGCTCTAAAAAAGAAAAACATTTTTCATATTTTGGAAATGCTTCTTAGTACAGGTAACGTTTCTAACACTGAAAATTAGTATGATAGCCGACTGAAAAAACATATGGAAAAAGTTGAAAAGAAATTCAAAATTCTAAAGGAAAAAAAAATGTGCCTCCTTCCTCCCTCTCATCCCAAATGTTTTAATGCATCACCCTTCTCCCCTAAGATAGTACTGTTTCCTCAAAGGTAGTATCTTTTGTAGATGAAATATGGACTTAACATATACCATTTATCTACAGAATGCATTCTACATGCAAGGCACTGGTGATTACCAAAAAAACAAACTCACTGCCGTCGAGTCGAATCTGACTCATAGCTACCCTTTCTTGGGTTTCCGAGGCAGTATCTCTACAGAAGTAGATTGCCCAATCTTCCTTCCAAGGAGCGGCTGGTGGGTTTGAACCGCCAGCCTCCTGGTTAGCAGTCAAGTGCTTAGGTACTGCACCACCAGAGCTCCCCTCCCCATAGAAGAGGGAGAGAGAGAGACTAATCGCTCAAGGTGTAAGGGAGCTTGATGTGTGAGAGGATGGTCTTCTAGCAACTCTGTAAATGCTGTAGGCACATGAAAATACACGTAACAAACCATTTGCCATTTCAACAGTCTTTACATGTGTTGTAATTCAGTGACTCTAGTTCATCATGTTGTATAACCATCACCCCTATACATTTCCAAATTACTCCACCACCATTAACAGAAGCCCAGTGCCCCCTAAGCAATGACTCCCCACTAAGGAGCATGATCACTAGACACTTGCCTGTTTCACACAAGTGGGATCAAAGAATATTTGTCCCATTGTGATTGACTGATTTCAATCAGTGTAATGTTTTCAAGGTTCCTCAATGTGGTGGCTTCACTTTATGACTGAGTAATAAGATTGCATTGTATGGATAGAACACATTTCTTTTTAATCCACTCATCTGTTGATGGACATTTAGGTTATTTCCACATTTTGGCTGCTGTCAACTTTTGCAGTAGTTTCTGGAGTTCTGAGATACTTTGTTTGTGGCATTTTGTATTCCCAGATTTCTACTTCATGTATCAAGTCAGCATTGCAATTCAGCCCAATAGCGGCTTCTTGTTTTCCTCTCACTAAAGCTGTGGTAGTGGAGTTTTTTCATGGTATATGTTTAGTGATGATGACTTTTGCGACCTTAAAATATGATTCCTAAGAAAACATTTCATTGAAGTGGCTTTTAAAAGGCCCTATTGGTCTTTTCTACCTGGGTTTGGGGAAAAAAAAAAAAAAACCCTCATTTAGTAATCTCTTGCTGAATGTAATAACATAAAAATTACACACATTATAATCATATAGAACATAAGAGTAGTTTCTTAACCAGTTTTCAATTTTATCCAGCACTCTTACATACTTATTTGCTCTTCTTAGAAAAAATACTGTCTTTGATATATCTTAGCAAATCCTATCTGAATTTAGAAACCTTGTCAAGAACAGATTTGACACATTGAACACTAATGACCAAAGACCAGACCAGTTGTGGGATGACATCAAGGACATCATACTTGAAGAAAGCAAATGGTCATTAAAAAGAGAAAAGAAAAAGAAGACCAAAAAGGATGTCAGAAAAGACTCTGAAACTTGCTTTTGAATGCAGAGTAGCTAAAGTGAACAGAAAAAATGAGGTAGTAAAACATACGAACAGAAGATTTCAAAGGGCCACCTAAGAAGACAAAGCAAAGTGTTATAACGAAATGTGCAAAAACCTGCAGGAAGACTTGGCAACGAGATGGACTGACACAGTGGCCGCAACGAAAGGCACAAGCTTAGCAATGATCGTGAGGATGGTGTAGCTCCAGGCAGTGTTTCTTTCTGTTGTATAGAGTCACTCTGAGTCAGAACTGACTCAACAACACCAAACAACAGCACATGCCAACATCAGTGATAGAGGCACTTTAAGTATTTTTTCCAAGTGGTGGGAATCAGCTGTCCTGACTTCACCCGGGCTTCTCATCAAGTCAGCCCCTAACTCATGATGACCCCATGCACAGTGGGACATAATGCTGGTCAGCTCTGCATCACGTCTTGATGGGCGTTTGGTTGGACCATTGTGATCTGTAGGGTAGAGAAGTCCTAAAACAGGGCTTCCTGGGTGGCACAAACAGTTAAGCACTCAACAATTAGCCCAAAGGTGGACTGTTGGAACCCACCCAGAGGTACATCAGAAGTAAGGCCTAGCAATCTGCTTCAAAAAGTCACAGCCTTGAAAACCCCATCAGATAGTTCCACTCTGCCCACATGGAGTCACCATGCTGTCATAATGACTTGACAGCAACCAACAACAGTAACAACAACAAAGCAGGTCTCAGGTGCGTTGAGTTACACTTCAAGAAAGGGAAGCAAGAATCCGCTGGATCATCTCACCAGGAACCTGAAGATCCACCATCAGTATTCTGCAGTGAAGGGATAATCTTCCAAATGGACCACTCTGCAGAGAGAAGAGAGAGAATGACTGTAAAGAAGAGCCCATTCCACAAGCAACGACGCTGATGGAAACGCACTCTTCTCTGGGACGTCCTATGGTCTTCATGCTCTCTCAGCCTCCCCCAAGATTATGAGATAACACAGGACAGGGGCCTACACCTCCACCTTCACACAAATTGATCTGAGAGTGTGCTGGGAAGGATGGCAGCTAAGCAGAGACCAGGGTGCCAAGATAAACTGGTATCTTGGAAGAAAGGCCTTGCAATCTAATTCTGAAAAATCAACTATTGAAAACCCTATGAAGCACACTTCTACTCTGACATGCATGGAGCTTCCATGAGTCAGAATCACATCTACAGCAGCTGATTTAATGGCTAATCCATGGAAGGAAGACAGGACAATCTGCTTCCGTAAAGATTTACCACCTCAGAAAACCAACGGGGGTCACTACAAGTTGGAATCGACTCAGTGGCAGTGTGTTTGGTGTTGGTTAAGAAGCCTGGAGCCAAGCTCTGCACTAAGTGCCTTGCAACTCTTGCCTCGATGAATTCTCCCAATACTACAAGGTGGAGAAGAGTAGTAGAAGTGACCATTTCAGAGTTGCTTGAGTATTGAATGAGATAATACTACACACACAAGCTTAGAATACCTGGCACATTCTGAGCTAACTCTCAACGTACATTAGGTGTTATTAGAACCATCATCTCTATTTTGTAGGTAAAGAATCCAACTCGGAAAATTTAGGGAAATTACCCAAGACCACACAGCTAATACATAAGAGATGGAGCTTGGATTTGAAGCCAAGAAGTCCTGGTTGCACAGTGGTTAAGCACTCAGCTGCTAATGGAAAAGTAAGGTGGCTTGAACCCACCTGTCACTCCACAGGAGAAAGATGAGGCAGTCTCTTTCCTCAAGGATCTACAGCCTTGGAAACCCTATGGGGCACTTCTACTCTATCTTGTAGGGTTGCTGTGAGTCAGTATAGAGTCCACAGCACAGAACAACAGACACTCCTGACCTCCCCATCTCTGCTATCTCCATTGGAAATAGTGCTCGTAGAAGAAGCAGTGACATTTTGGGGAGGTCACATGTTATGGTCACCACTGTTTTTCATCCTAAATGGCTGGTACTGTTATCCTCCCATGCAGGTAAGCACTGGAAGGGGGGAAAGGCTGCCCTAGGACACTAGTGACCTGGGACCTCATGACATGCAAGCAGTGCTGGAGACTGAAACCCTTCTAACAGTTGAGAAATCATGCTTGGCTTGAGAAATAGTGGAAGAGACTCAAGTTGTCACTGAATTGGGGACCTGGAAGTCAGAACTGCCATAAGTCATTCTCAAAGACAAACATCTCTGATACCTTTAATCATTTGAAACCAGATGTATCATGAGAGCTGGAAAGTATTGATGGAAAAGAGAATGATCATCTAGCAAGTGAAAGTTTTTCCCAGATGCTTATTAAAGATATTTTAAATAATTTAAGGTAAAGTTAATCCACCTCTTTTGAGGGGTGTTTGATTTAAAACATCCTACAACTGACTGGCTCTGGTAGCATAGTGGCTAAGTCACTTGCCTGCTAACCAGACGGCTGGCAGTTCAAACCCACCAGCCACTCCTCGGAAGGAAGGTTGGGCAATCCTACTTCCGTAGTGATACTGCCTCAGAAACCCAAGGAGGGGTCGTTATGAGTCAGGGCCGACTCGACGGCATAACAACAACACAACTGACCAAAACCCAAAACCAAACCCAATTCTGGTGAGTCAATGCTGACTTAGGGCAACTCCATATGGGTCAGCACAGTACTGCTGCACAGGGTTTTCTTGGTTGTAATCTTGACAGAGACAGATCAAGTCCTACAACTGACAAAGGAAGGAAATTCTTGGAAGACATTCTTCTACTGTTTGGAAACTCAGTCTCCTGGAGTCTGTTTATCAAGCTTGTGACTTTAAATATCACCCATACACAATAGACTCCCAAATGTTTATCTGCAGCCCAGACCTTTCCTACTAAGGAAATACCAACTGCCTATCTGGTATCCCCACTTAGATGTCTGATAAACATCACACACATGTTCCAAGTCCCACTCCTGATTCCTTTCCCCAATGGCAATTCCAGTCTTGTGTTGCTCGGGCAAACACAAAAAACAAACAAGACAAATCTTGGAGCCATCTTTAGCTCCCCTGGTACAGAACAATTGCTCAATGACTATTTGTGAAGTGAATGAATGAATGAATGGTTTCTACCTCCAACCTAGTGACATGGCCTGTCTTAAAATTCTAGCACTGAATCCAGAAGTCCAGACACTGAGCAGCAATTAGGGACAGGTCTTTCCTCACAATGCTTCCACCTTGGTACGCCAGTCTTAATTTTCAAAACTGACAGAAGATAGTATTTGGAGACAAAAGTAGCCCCAGCTGCTATCCAAGCCTTCCAGCTCACCCTCTACCAGTTTAGAGAAAACACTGATGCTCCTCATAGAGTGACCCAGTGCTCTTACTCCTTCACAATGCAGGCCCTCCAGTTTCTGTTGAAGCCAAGCATGGTTGCCATCTCCTCATCACTCAACTGGAAGTCGAAGACCTGGAAAGGGGAGAGTTCAAGCCAACCCATGGGGTCCTGTTCCAGCAGGGAAAGAGCTCACATTCACAACACTAACTGGCTGCAGGCCGTCCCTATTATGCTCACTGGGTGTGAATTTTGCTTTAAACTTGTTGTTGTTGTTATGTGCCGTCGAGTCAGACCCGACTCATAGCAACCCCTCCTTGGGTTTCCAAGGCAGTATCACTACAGAAGTAGATTGCCCCATCTTCCTTCCTAGGAGTAAACTAGGTTCTATAAATATTAAAAATTGAATCTAATAACATGTAAAAAAAATTAAACACCATGACTTGTTATGGACTTAGCATGGCTGGTTCAACATTTGCAATTCAATCAGTATAATTCATCATATGAACAAAGAAAGGCTAACAGAGAAGAATCATATAGTCATGTCAACAGATGCAGACAAAACATGTGACGTTAGATCCTACACAAAGACTGCAGTCTTGATGGGCTTGGGGCTTCCCAGTGCAGGTGTGTCCCTGATGGACACCCAGACTTCTCTAGGAAGTAGGTCCTCCAGTGCAGTCTATGTCCCCTGTGCTGTGGGGTGGGGTGGGGGGTGAGGCCGGGATGGTCTGCTCTGTGTGTGGTCATGGTCTGCCACTCAGCGACAACCAAGCTTCTCCTCAGGGAAATGACGAACAGCTGTGCTCACGCCTGCCAGGTGTGAGCTTGTCTCTGGCCCATGGATCATCCAGCTCCACTCTTAATGAGGTCTGCCCCATGCCCTGGGAGGTGACAGGGTGGTGGACAGGGGGTGAGGCCCACAAACAATGCAGGGACAGGATTAGGATCCTGGTGAAAAGAGTTACTCCTTCTCCTTCTCCTTCTCCTTCTTCTCCTCCACTGAGAAGAACCAAGGTCAACCAGCAGACTGTTTTTTTAAAAAAAAAAAATTTATTGTGATTTGGGCAAAAGTTCACAACTGTTGTCATTGTTAGGTGCTGTTGAGTCGTCTCTGACTCATACTGACCCTATGCACAGCAGAATGAAACACCGCCCGGTCCTTATATTTTCTTATTAGGAAGTTTACAGAGCAAATTCATTTTCCATACAGCAGTTCATACACATTTTGTCTCATGACATTGACTGCAATTCCCCACAATGTAGCAGCTCTCTTCCCACTTCCACCCCATAGTTACCTCTTCCCTGTGTCCTTTCCTCCCACGTACTCCCACCCTCCTAGCTGTCTCCCTGTGCAAACACTGCCCTTCTGTTCTCCCATGATTGATCGCTCAAAGTGGTGTAGCCACCTATTGTAAATGTTCATCTCATATGCCTATCTACTGTTTGGCTGAAAACCACAGGAGTGAGCTCAGTTCCAGACCTGAAGGATGGCTAGGGGCCATAGTCTCAGGGGTCTCATCAGGCCCCATCAGACCAGCAAACCTGGTCTTTTTTTATGATTTTGAGTTTTGTTCCACATTGTTCTCCCACTCTCCAGGATCTCCTGCACCAATCCCCTTGAGTGGTCAACCAGCAGACTCTTACCTGGAAGTTCTCAGCAATGTGCTTTGGGGTCACAGATTTGGGAATCACAACCACATTCCTCTGAATTTGGAACCAGATCAGAACCTGTGCATGAAGGACATCATGCTCCATTCATCACCAGAGCCCTCCCTCCACGAAAGAACAAAGGAACCACATTGTAGCTCCCTGCCTTCATTGCAACACTGACTGTGGACTGAGTGCGTCCCTGTCAGACACTGGCAGTCTCCACTAGACAGTCTCCCAGAATCTTCACAACAGCTTGAAGATGCAGGTTGTAAGATTTCCTTATTAGGAACTAGGACAGTGGCTGGGCCGGTGTTGGGTCCCAAGATGGCATGTGGTAGACCTGGATCTCAACCCAGATCTCTGCCCGCCAAAGCCACTCATGTCACTGAGTGGTCAGATTCACAGGAAGCTGCTGGACAGGGTCCTCCCTGTCTCAGAGATAACAGTGTGTCCCCTGGAAGCCCAATAGAACTTGAGGAGTAGCCTGACCAGGTTTCATCTGCCGTGTTCTTCCCCTTAAAGGAGTAAGGTGAAGACAACACAAGGAAAGAAACAGGGCTTGGGACTGCTGGGGGACAAATGGAGTCATAATGTACCTGGGCTGGGGTTCTGTTGTGCTTTGCAGCAGTCTCCTTAATCCCAGGGTCCTCCAGCAGTGAAGGGTTCTCTGGCTCAGCCCTAGAAACAGAAAGATGGCAGGCATGTGTGAACAATGCCATAGTTACCATGTATAGCTGAGCATCACTCCCATGATGATGGCCTCCAGACTGGTCCTCCCATAATCACCATGGTTATTACTATGTGTAGATGAACTTCCCTTCCATGATGATGTCCCTAAAGCCACTGCTCACAGTATCCTCCAACTGGGAGATGGGCATAAGCACCTGAAAGCTTTGTCTTACCTTTGGGCCCACCATGGGCTCCGAACCTCACCTTGTGTAAAGGCTGGTCCTGCTCTAAGTGGCTGAAAATAAGAGGAGCAGATATGTTGCTATTTTTTTATCTTACTTTTTTGAGTCTATAAGCAATTAGATAGAATAATATATCTAAGACAATGTATTAGGTATACCTAAATGGGATTATAACCAACCAAAACTAAACTCACCGCCGCTGGGTCGCATCCAACTCATAGTGACCCCTCCTTGGGTTTCTGAGGTGGTATCTCTACAGAAGTAGATTGCCCTTGGAAGGAAGACTGGGAACCCAAGGAGGGGTCACTATGAGTCGAATCCAACTCGATGGCAGTGACTTTGGTTTTTGGTTTGGTAACACATTGTCTTAGATATTTTATTCTATCTAATTGCTTATAGACTCACACCAACATTAACCAGTTATCAGTCATTTTAAAGAGCCCCTGAGGAACCTCATCAGGGTCTGTCTGAAGAGCCCAGAGGGCTGTAATCAGTGACTGCAATGCCCTTGGACTGGCAGTATTGGATCAGCTTCTCCTGTGTGAGGTATGGGTGACACTCAATCTGCAAAAGGAAACAATCCCCATCACTAGGCAGTTGGCCCATGTTTGGACCATCTCTGAGGGAGTTCCACACACAAGAAAAGATGTTGTTGTTGCTAGGTGCCATCAGCTCCGACTCACAGTGATCCTCTGCACAACAGAATGAAACACTGCCTGGTCCTGTGCCAGCCTCACAATCCTTGCCACACCTGAGCCCACCATTGCAGCCACTGTGTCAGTCTATCTCGTTGAGGGCCTTCCCGTTCTTCATTGACCCTCCACCTTACCAGGCATGATATCCCTCTCCAAGGAATGGTCCCTTCTGACAACGTGACCAAAGTAGATGAGATGAAATCTGGCCATTCTTACTTCCAAGCAGCATTCAGGCTGCACTTCTTCCAGGACAGATTTATTCATTCTCTTGCCAGTCCATGGTACTTTCAGTATTCTTCACCAACACCACAACTCAAAAGCATCAACTCTTCTTCGGTCTTCTTTGTTCATTGTCCAGCTCTCACATGCATATGAAGCTACTGAAAGCACCATGGCTTGATTTAGGTACGCCTTAGTCTTTAAGGAGACAACTTGGCTCTTCAGCACTTGAAAGATGTCTTTTGCATCACATTTGCCCAGTGCATTATGTCATCTGATTTCTTGACTGCTGCTTCCATTGGTGTTGATTGTAGAAGCAAGGAATATGCATAAAGATTGCCAAGCAAAAACCAAACATTGCCCGCTAATACATTTGGATGCCAGATCCTGTGACCAGTCTCGGACCTCCCCAAAGCATCCTCATCACGGGTTCCTGAGAGGAGACTCACCATACAACACTGAACTTGCCTCCAAATGTTTTACCTTTTACTAAGCAGAATTTACCTGGTTAATCACTGGTTTATGTTTCAGCCTGGGTTTGTTCAAGAGCCCCTCAATCTGGAAGTGGTTGAAGTTGGAGATACCAATGGCTTTCACAAGCCCTTTGTCCATCAGTTCCTCCATGCCATCTATCATAGAAAAGAACATCTGTTGGGCAGTCCCAGGGGCTACAGGGGCCTTGAGTTGGTTTAGTCTTCTCAGGAGGACCAGCTGGTAAAGGATCCACCTCAGAAGTGTTGGCTCATACATATAAAGGAAACTGCCATCAAGCCTAATGGTGCCCTCAATGATTGCTTTCAGCCCCAATGAAACTAGGCATCCAAGGTGAAGTTTCTGTGGTCTTGCCTTCCCTCCTCAGCCACACCAGGTGGCCTGGCTTAGCTGGGAGGGGACTACATGTAGACAAAGGTCATTGCCTGGGCTCTGGGTCACCCCCTCCCATACTCCCCAAGTTTGGTCTGCAGTAATATTAGGGCCACTAGTAAAGAGAGAGTAATGTTTTTGCTTTGAGGATAAGGCTAAATGAATTTGTTTTAGTGAAGATATTAAACAAATACTTAAGACTGTGTAGTCAGTCATTAAGGCAAAATTAAACTATGTAAATCTAAAATTTTTTTAAAAAAAATTATTTCAACTTGTGATTTAAGCCCTCTGTCTAGTATTTGGGCTCAACCAGTTCACAGCTTGTCCAGTAGTGACAACTCATCACATTTTACAATGGATTATACTTTTTTTTTTTTATTTGTGTGTGTGTGTGCATATATATATATATTTGTTGTTGTTATGTGCCATCGAGTCGGACCCAACTCATAGCAACCCCTCCTTGGGTTTCCGAGGCAGCATCACTATGGAGGTAGATTGCCCCATCTTCCTTCTGAGGAGTGGCTGGTGGGTTTGAACTGCCAGCCTTCTGGTTAGCAGTCAAGTGCCTTAGGCACTATGCTACCAGAGC